GTGGCTGCTGACCGCGGCGACCGACGACGCGGCGCTCCTCCTCCCGCGACTGCGCGGCGAGGAGGGCGGCGCGCCGCTGAGCGTCGCGAGCGTGGGCGCGCTGCTGGCCGACGGCAACCTCTTTGGCCTCCTGGGCCGCGGCGCCGAGTGGAAGGACATCGCGGACCTGGCGGCCGTCTTCCGCGACGGCCTGCACGTCACCATGCGCTTCCGGCTCGGCTGGGAGGACGGCCGCGAGGCCAGGAGGGACCACCGCGCCACCGCGCGGAGGGCGACGGCGACGGCGGCGAGCGAGGTGGGCGGCAGCAGTAGTAATGCGAGGGGGGGCCACGGGCAGGTGCTGGCCATCTCGGCCGTCCGGACGGGCGGCTGGGGCGGCGGCGAGAACGTCGGGCTCGGGCTCCAGGCGCGCGTCGGGTTCCGGCAGCGCGGGTTTGTCAGGGACTGGGGCTGGAAGACGTGAGCCGCTGAGGGTTTTGCTTTGCGTCATCCATGTACTTGTATGTGTATGTCTTTGTTCCTCTGGAAAGCATGGCGCTTAGGTTAATGTTAATTTTGCTATACTTTATTCGTACTTGTACTGCCTCTTTCTCGTCCCTTGCCGTTGGTCTTCATCTCGGTCTGCACCAGTGCCGATGTCGAAGCGTCATTACAGCCCTGCAGCCTCTATCACTGTCACATCCGGGAGCCCCAACGGGGCCCGCCAACCCCTTTTCGACAGGTGGAGGTTCCCGGGATTTGCGCAAACCATGAGTCCCGCATCCTCCTCAGCCTGTCAATCGGCGTATGATATCAAAAGTGGTTCTTTAGCGGCCTATTTTTCCCTGAATTTCATTTCTTGGTCATCGAATCCTTAGATTTGTCAAGTGCGAAAGCGCGAACGCGCGATAACCGGATGGCCTTGCATCCAGACTAGCCAACACTCGCCTCGGCAACATGCCATGTAGTCCGGGCTGGTACGGTATTCGCCGGTCGTAGGGTCGGCCCCGATGAGTAAGTCCTGTGCAGCCACCATTAGGGACTTCTCCCTCTCCTCTTTCGCATCCGGAATGCCACCCAGGAGATGACTATAAAAAGTTTGGCCAAAAGCCGTCAGGGGCTCACTCCCACGCACAACCAACCCATTCACACATACTCTGCCCAAGGCACACAGACGCCGCCACCTTAGGCAAAGACAGATAGTCCAGTCCGTCAGGATGCATGTCGTGACCTCACTCCTCCTGGCCGCGCACGCCCTGGGCCGGGCCACCAGCGCCATGGCCCTCCTGCGCAACACCTCGCCGTCCAGCAGCCTCATCCCCTTCGACGATTGGGGCCACCTCTGGGTCGCGCTGCACAACGTCAGCATCCACATGCGGTACGCGGGCAGCGGTCCCCCCCTACTACTCGTGCACGGCAACCCGCAGCACAGCCTTACGTAGCGCACCGTCGGCCCGCTGCTAGCGCAGAAATACACCGTCATCGCGCCCGACAACCGCAGCGCCGGCGATTCGTCCATCCCGCCCGACAGCGACTACACAGCGGCAGCCTCAGCCTCAGACCTATGCGAGGTGCTCGACTTCCTCAACATCTCGTCCACGTACGTCGTCTCGCACGACAAGGGCGCCGGCTACGCCGCGGCCCTGGCGGCGGCGCACCCGGCCCGCGTCCGGCGGCTCGTGGTGTCCGAGTACCTGCTCCCGGGCTTCGGCTACGAGCAGGCCGCGGTGCCCGGCCCGTTCCTGGACCTGTACGGTAACTGGCAGCTCGCCTTCTTCGGCATGCCCGACGCTGCCGCCTTCTTCACCCGGGGCCGCGAGCGGGAGCTGCTGTCGTGGTACTTTTACCACTGCAGCTACTCGGGCACGTCGAGCGTGCCGGGCCCCGTGCTGGACGCCTACGCCGACTCCATCTCCAAGCCGGGCTTCCTGCGCGCCATGTTCGGCCCCTTCGGCAACGGCGTCGTCGGCGCCGACGCGCGCTTCTTCAACTCAACCCTCGGCCGCGCGCCCTCGGCCGCGCGCCCTCGGCCGTCCCGACCCTGGCACTCGGCGGCGAGTCCTGCCTGGGCCCCGCCGCCAAGTCCATCTTCTCGCCCGTATTTTCCGACCTGCAGGCCGACGTCGTGCCCCATGCGGGCCACTGGATCGGTAAGATGGATGCAATGATCCCGCACCCACCGTCCCCGTCATGTGCTCCCTCTGCCCCGTGATCACGTTCCCCCCGCTGGTTCCCAAGACACATCTGTGGTGGGGCAAATGGCTGACAAGGGAGCCGCTTTCATAGCCGACGAGAATCCGACTTGGCTCGCCAGGAGAGTGGCAAGATTCCTCGCCGACGATCCGTCGCCCCTGTCCCCCATTGATCTATCGGGTTTAGCAGACAGGATCACAACCAACGTCGGGTACTTTGGAACGTACCGTAATATGGCCTTAGCGACGCAGCCTTAATCCCTATCGTTTTTAACGCTATTATTATAATTGAACGTCCAAAATAAAATAGCGAAAGTAAAACGAAAGGGCGATGTGACCCCGAAACTTTTCCTAGTAAAATATGTAAGGTTTTGTAAAACGGAATGGTTTACATAGGTAAAATCCAAAATTCCCGCGTTTGGTTTTTCTTATATTTGGCCTAATAGGTTTTGTCTTTGACCTATGTGCTTCATTTTTTTATTTTTTTTTACTTTCGGGCTAGGTTTGGCGCTTTTTTGTTTTGTAAAGCAGGTACTTGCAGGGGTGTATGTAAAATATTGCATTTTTTTTTTTTGGCCCAGCTTTTTTTTTTTTGGCTTTTTAAGGGTGGGTAACCAAGCTTTGCTAGGAAGGCTTGTAGCGGTTTAGCTTTCCTTTTTAAACAGCCCATCCCTCGATTACTTGCGTGTCAAGCTGCTGGGTAAGCTGCGGCTTTAGTGGCACAACATTGCTTGATATTATCTTGCAAGCGACTGTGCCAAATGACGACAACCTGAACCATGAAGCGCGAGGTAGATGACAGCAAGAACCGCAGCTGGAGTACCACGCCAAATACAACCCTTTTCGCTAACTACCGAGATCTGGGACCATGTCGCATACATGTCAGCTGTTTGCTGAGAGCTACGGAATATGTATGTTTGACTGCGAGTTAAATTCTATCCTTACGGACCGCCTTCGGGCACCCTCATCAAGCCGAGCGGCTTCTGCTGAGCAATACTTCCTTTGAAAGTGCTGCTTCTGTATCTGGATGGCAGGTCGACGGGGCTGTGCTTCTGCTTGGCTCTGCCCTCCCCAAGGCCCCAGTGAGGTTGCCAGGTCCTGACTCCAGGAGGGAGCCACTGCTGTAGCTGGATGGCACTGTTTTGTTGCCACAGTGTTGTTCGCTTGGAAGCTTTGACCATTGCACACCCCCGAGGTGTGCTGCATCTGCAAGTTATCTGCAGCTTGGTACCTAGGTACCTACCTAGGAGCCAATGAGGGGTGTGGCTAGAACCTGCACAAGCTGCTGCTTCTGCATTGCTTCCGTCTTCCCTCCGCTGGGCACTGCATCTGCAGCTGGGTGCCATTTCAGGGTCGCAGCTCTGACCCTTTGGCGGCTGGGGCTACTGCCAGGTCCGCAAGGTCCACCTATGCCACCCCTGCACAATCTCTTGCGGTATGCAGGGTTCTGGCTTTTGAGTTCCTACCCCCGCTTGGTCGTGATGTCTCTGAGGGGTGTGTCTACATTTCTGTGCTCCAGGGCTGCTTCTGAGCTCTGCCCCTAGGAGCCAACCCGCCCCAACAAGGTTCCCATGCCCTGCAGGATTCTGCCTTTAGAACAATGCCTCGACGCGTACGGCTTTTCCCGAGTGTGCGCTGCATGGCTTTGCCTAGGTGGGTACCTGACATTCGGATTTGGATCGTCAATCGAGTCGAGGCGACGATGTCCTCAATCTTTGGACAGGGTGGCCAAGTGTCCTGAGATGATTGGGTGTTCTAGCCGTTCCGCAACTGAGTAGTATCGTTACCTTCCTTAAAAAGCATTGTCGCCTGGAGGAAAAGCTCACACTGATACCCAAGGGCATCGATCGTTGGACTGCATCGCGAACCTCTCCCGCAACCCACTTCATGAGCTTTGGCCCAGGCAATGCCGAGGACAAGAAATGCATTTTGTTTGAGCCAACTTAGGACCTGAAAAGGACGACGGACCTCCAGGCTCCCTCGGTGCTGCCGCGGTCATGGCCGATTTACGGCAACCCAATTATCTACCTAACTACCCAGGGGGGTGTAAGTACCTACTTCCGCCTATCCCTGCAGCTCAGCTTCCTTTTACAGCTCTGCTTGCTCCTGCAGCTCTACTTTCTCCTACAGCTTAATACCAGCTTAAATTAAAGTTTGCTTAACATTTTTACATTGATAAAATTCGGATATTTTTATTTACGGAAAGCAAAAATGTAAAACATTCCATTTTATTCCAAACCTATAACTGCTTTTAAAATTGGTATGTTAGTCTACATAGCGAAAAACGTTGCTTAAACTTTAGCAGCGGGAACTTTTTGCCCTATGAGAGTTTCGCTTGCTGCGACACCGTCTTTTGGTTACCTTCGCCAGAACTTATCTCGGTATCGACATAAGCATTACGCGCATTTCCGTCGATATAACGCATTGCATTGCCAGAGGACCACCTGTCCGAAAAGGCCGACACTTTAACTAGCAGTGGGCATGTGCCTGAAAGGAATACCCAACTCCAAAAGTAAGGTAGGGGCGGGCGAGCAAAAGGAAAAGGCAGGGAGGCTGGGGAACAGGGGGACAAGAAGAGCAAACCCGGGGACGGAGATAAGGGGCAACAACGATTCTCGATCACGGCTTGGTGCGTCTGGCACTTTGCCCAGCGAGGCCAAGAGATATCCAAGGAGATAGTACATTACAGAGGCGCCCACAGCACAGAATACAGAAACCCTCGGCTGGGCATGCGCCTTTTTATCAAGACGGCGTCCTCCGGGCAGATGCGCCAGGTCCCAGAATAGCAGCTCAGAAGCCGTCGATCAATGGCAATCGGCATCGAGGGCGCCCCCTGCTCGGACGCGCCGTCTCTGCCGCCGCATCCCCCGTCTTGGGCCAAGCCTGAAACAGGGCAAGCCGTGACGAATGCCCGCCCCTGTCGCCAGACAAGGCGCCCGTAAACGCATAGTGTCGAGCCCCGCAGACGTCGGTGACAGCTGTCAGAATAGATGGGAGAGCCAGGAATGCACAGGCTACAGTCTTGCTCGGCGGCATGTCGGCATCGTGGGGCTGCCAATGACCCGCGGCTGTCCCCAGAGTGATGGATGCTACGGACCAACTTCTGACTCGGTGCGGCATTACATGACGCCCCCTAATGGTGACCCCGCTGACGGCGTTTGAGGTGGGATTTGTTGACGGCGCGCAGCCCTTTTTCGGGGTCGTGAAAAGATGCAGACAATAATGCCTCGATGCGTGAGCACCCTGCCGGGCGGCACGGGGCCGGCGTGTTGAGGTGGGGGATGGGGAGTGTGTCAGGGCTGACGAATGGGCGAAAGAGATGACCTCCTGAGTGGAAGCCAGGGCGAACAGGGTCAAAGGGAGTCTAGTGCAGAGAGGCCTCAACCCAAGACCACGGTTTGGAAAATGGGCCACGTTGTGTAGATATTCAGGCTAAGTGTTAGCAAAAGGCCTACTAATCAGCACAAAGAACGAGGACCCCAGAAAGAAGTCCATGTTGGACTGACGTTGGGTGGCGGCGGGAGTCAAAAGCTTGGCGCGTAAACACTCGGATGCAACTGCCAACGGGCCCAGCGGCAGACAAGGAAGGCCCTGCCGCGAAAGCCAAGACATTCGCTCGATCTGGCGGCGGGGATTGAATTGCTTGTCTGACGCTAATTCCTTCCCTCACTCACTCACTCCCCCTTACCCACCGCCCGTGGCCTGCTTTGGGATCCGCGGATCTGCGTGCTTAACGCTGATCACATAACTCGAGCCCTCACCTTTTTTTCATTGTTCCCCTGGTGGCAGGTGGCAGAACGGCCGTCCGCATGTGGCCTTCAAGTTTTGTTTCGGATCGAGGTTTCACGCCAAGCATCGCGGTTGCCAAATGCGGACCACACAGGCCAGGCTAGCGGCCTCGCCATTGGACGGCACCTTAGCCGTTAGGCGGGAGGGGCTTGGCTAGAGGGGGGGCCGCTAGAGTGGGTCGTCTCGGGCATGGGCGGACAGGCATGCAGCCTCTGGAATTCAGGGCTCCAGGACGACGCGCGGTTGAAGGCAGGATTCGAAAAGGGGAGCGGTCGGCGTTTCGACTAGTCTCCCATGTCGGGTTTTGTGGGCGCGGAGTTCGCGTCGATGGGAAATGGACGAGTCGACGGGTGATGCGCGAGAGCCCCCATCCCGAAAGGGGGGTGTCACAGCGTGTAAGCAGCCGTGCGGGGGGAGAGGCCAGGACAGGGAAGGGCACGGCGGCACGCGAGGGTGCTAGCCTGGAGGCTGACGGACAGACAGACAGACAGAGACATCTCCCGCCGAGAGAGCTCACTCCCGCACGGATATATAAAGTCTCGTTTGGCTCCCAGACTCTGCCAAGCTTTTTCTTATCCTCATCAGGCCAGCGGCTAACACATCACATCATCTTTCTTGGCATTTTCCATTCTTTTCCCTGTTTCTTCGTTTCTTTCCGCGACCGGTTGACTCGGCCCGCCCTTTGAACGCTTCCACAAACACCGCCGGCCGTCTAAATAGCATCATCCGAGCAAGTCTCAACGAAAAAAAAAACCAGAAAAAAAAAACAGCCACAACACTCTAACCAACTACCTCAGAATGTTCGCCAAAGCTATTCTCCTCGCCCTCGCGGCCTCCCCCCTCGTCGCCGCCCACGGCAAGCCCGTCGTCATCAAGGGCGACCTCGGTGGCAACGGCACGGCGCTAGCCAACCAGGGCGGCATCATCCCCGGCGAGGGGCCCAACCGCAAGACGGAGCCCGACACGACCGTGTTCAAGAAGGTCAACGGCAAGGTCGTCTTCCAGTCCGACGGCATGGGCCGCACCCAGGGCCAGGGCCAGAACAAGATGAACATGATCAAAGCCGCCATGGCCCTGTCCGGCAACACCCTGCCCCAGGTCTCGTCCACCGGCGGCACCATCGAGGGGACCTACCACATTGTGACCGACGACGTTTGTACCACCCTCCTGCTCCTGTACATCTCTTGATCATCACGTGTGACTTCTGGCTGACAAACACACTTTTCCAACAAATCCAGGGCGCCGGACCCATCCAGGCCTGCATCGACCCGACGGCGACGGGTACCTTCACCAACTGCACCATGCTCAAGGTCGTGACTCAGGTGCCTGGCAACGGCGGCCGCATCAAGGCGCCCGCCAAGAACGGCAAGCGCGACGGCCCCGTCGCCGAGCTGTGGGACCGCGCCCTCGAGGCCCTGCACGTGCGCGGCATCATCAAGCGCGCCGCCAAGAACGTGAACCAGGACTTCCCCATGAAGTTCGAGGTCCCAGCCGGCACCACCTGCCAGGGCACCGTCGAGGGCATCAACAACGTCTGCCTCGTCAAGATCGCGAACCCCAACCGCGCCGGCCCCTTTGGCGGCGTCATGCCCATCCAGATCCAGCCCGGCGCCGGCAGCGGTAACGCCACGGCCCCCGCGGCTCCAGCCAAGGCCGCGTCGGCAAAGGCTGTCCCCAAGGGCAACAAGCGCAGCGTCGAGTTCACGGCTTAGATGGTTCGGTTTCGTTGGGCTGTGGGCCGGCGAGGGTGCTTGGCGGGCGACGCCGCGATCCCTGTTCAGGTCTGGGATAGAGATGTTGGAGTGGCAGAGGGAGAGAGAGATGACATGCCGGATGACGAGAGCTGCTGGACTGCCAGTGATGTGGAAGTTTCAACTGTATATATAAACCCCCCGATGAATTGAATGAAGATGTGAAAAACACCCCTGTGCTCGTCTCGGAGCCCCAGATCATTAAGCCTGTGAAGCAATGCCGTGACCGCGAAGCTGACAGAGAGATAACTGGAGCTCGGCCGATATCACACAACCCCCACGCCCAGAATCACATCACGCTTTGCATCCCAAGCTTAGCGCACGGGGTATATGCATTGGTATTTAGTGATATGTGATTTGCCACCCCTGTGAGAGGCGGCACGAAAGGTGTACACGAAGTCGACCATCCCTTTTGGGCCGTAAAGCCTACTACCCCCATGAGCACCCAGCATCCATGGCTTAGAATGTGACTATCGGCCGCAAAAAGGCAACGACACTCCCCCAAGCCTGCCAGGCTCGAGAGGGCGTTCAAATGCACTGCGAGTACCAGTCGTTGACCTTGGTGCAGGTCCACGGGCTGGCGCACACTGTGCCGCCGGTCCAGCCCTGGCCGCCGCACTGGTCCCACCGGTTCTGGGTGCCGCCCGTGGGGGGCGGCGTCGTCGTCGGCTGGGGTGGCGCCGTGGTCGGGCCCGGGCCGGCGCTGGTGGTGGGCTGGGGGCCGGGGCCGCCCGTGGCCGCGGCGGCGAGCAGGCTCGAGACCGAGGACCAGGCGGGCTTGCGGTTGAAGTTGGAGTTGTACAGCAGCGCGTCGCCGGTTCCGGGGAAGGTGCTGGGAACCCATCTGTTTTCATTCGGTGACAAGGTCAGATTGGCTGCAAAAAAGAGAGAGAAAAAAAAAGCGACGGCTGGAAATGAGGCACTAAAGAGGACTTACGAGTACTTGTCCGTGAAGCCCCAGACGGTGATACCAACGCAGCCCTGCACGTCGAGGCACGAGCCCACGACGTCTGCGTAGTCGTTGCCCTGGCGCTGGAGGGCCGACGTGGACGCGGGCAGGCTCGAGTGGCGGATGTCGAGCTCCGTGTAGGCGACCTCGACGTTCATCGAGGTGAAGCGGCGCAGGACTGTGGCCAGGTTGGCGCGGCTCGGGGTCGAGCCGACGATCAGGTGGCCCTGAAAGCCGACACCGTCGATGGGCGCGCCGGCCTCCTGGATGATCTGCACGGCCTGGACGACGCGGTTCGTCTTTGCGCCGTTGTACTCGAGGTTGTAGTCGTTGTAGTAGCTGGGAGGGAAGAAGCGAGGCGGGGATGTCAGTATCTAGGTATTCTGCTTTGTGCCTCTCCCGGGCTCGGGCTGACAAGGAATAAGTCACTCACAGCTTGACGCTCGGATCAGCAGCTCTCGCGATGCGGAACGACAGCGGGAGAAAGTCGGTTCCGAAAACTCTGTAAAAGACACTGGTGCGCCACGCTCCATCGTCGTCGACGGCCTCGTTGACAACGTCCCATGCGTAACACTTGCCCTTGTAGTGGCCCATGACGTTGTTGATGTGCGTCTCGATGACGGTCTGCAGAGACTGCCGGGTCCAGGAGCCCGTCTCCACTGTCGCATTTATCTGCCGTTAGCGCTTGCACACCCTCCAACAGCACTTTGCTTGCACTTTGCTTGTCGTCACAGCCGGGCACTGAGCACTCACCCCAGCGGGGCAACTGGCTGTGCCATACCAGCGTGTGGCAGCGGAGGATCTGGCCGTTCTTGGCAGCCAGGTTCGCCGAGATGTCGCCCGACGCGTAGTTGAACTGGCCCCTGGTCCCCTGGATCGCGTCCCACTTCATCCCGTTCTCCGGCACGAGCTGTCCGATCTCGGCCTTGTTGTTGACGATGTCCATGTATGCCTGGTCGCGGCCGACCGTGCCCTCGCCCACGGCGGTGCCGAAGTACTTCAAGCCCGCCCTCTGGGCCAGCGAGTGAAGCTGGCCCGAGACCGTGGGGGCCAGAAGGCCCAGGGCGGCGGCGAGAGCAGCGTGTGCGTGCATGGTTGGCGTTTCCGTTCCTGATGCAGTCTGCCGGGTTGGTTGCAGTTCGTGTGCCTGCGCCGCTAGCTCAGCTTCTTCGGGGCACGAGATGCTGACTGGTTCTTAGCCTTGGGTGGCGAGGAGAAAGATGGGCGAGGCATATATGGCAGTGAGCCTTCTGCTTTTATATCCCATGAGATAACCAGACTGTACTTGAAAGTGCGGGGGTGCTGCCATCCATAACGTGCTGCCAAGCGTCTTGCACATCGGGCGGCCACAAATTCTCCTGGCCCAACCAGAGAGAGGATCCGCGTCATGATGGAGGGCACGACCACGAGGCTTCATGCCCACCCGACCGTCCAGCGTCGCCCACTCGCCCGTCCGGGCCGAGGGCGGTACCTTTTGGGGGACACCACATCTCGGTACCGTGGTTGTGAAGGCCCAGGCTTGGCTAGCGTGATGCTCGGAGGCAGATGCTGCGCGAGGCACAAATCAAAGTGACAGAGAATCGTGTGTCCGCTGCAGGTTTCCACCAATGCACCCCCGTCGCTTCTCCAAATCCCTTGGGGTCGTGGGACTGGAGAAAAGCCGGCTGGGCTGCCAAGAGGAGGGTCGAAAATCGCGCGCCCAGCCGGAGAAGTACGCCGATCGCTACGGCGCGACGGCCGGAAAGCGTAGGGCGGAAGGTATGCCGCCGAGATTGCTTCTCCAACGGGCCAAGAGACTTGGAGAACCCCCGCAGGCGCAGCTGCAGCCCGGAGTTGAGCGGGCTCAGCCGTCAGCCTCAGGGTCCAAGAAAGTATTTTTCAGGCCTTAGCCGACTGCCTCGGCTGGTCGGGGAGCGAGCCAGTCCGTCGGGTGGGGGTTGAGTGGGTGGTGGGTGGTGATATTAGAAGTGGTGATGTTGTGGGCTGAGGTTCAATCGCGATATTTTGAAGAAAGTGGCATTGGGTTCATCTAGCCGCGCCTATGCTGTGTAAGCGCTCGCAGCACGTGCACCCACCAAAATGTGTTCGCCCACAGCAAAGGACCAAGACACATCCCACATCCGTCGGGTATTCCGAGGCAGGTTTAGTTTATTTCAGTTGACTTTCGTGCTAGCTACACGCAAAGTCCATGCCCATAGCTCAGGCCACGACGAAGAGGCCATCTCGGACTGTGGTCGGGCTGCCCGAAACTGAGTGGAGCGAGGTCACATCAATCAACGTTCAATCAATATGCAACGCGGGAAGCCCGCAACCTCACGAGGAGCCTCAATGGCCCCCTGGACACGCACAAGCATGGTAGACCCGACGACCTGCGCACAGCCGGCCCGGCCGCCTAAGGTCGCAGTCCAACATAGAAGTCCATACCTCTTCATGCTATCGCGCACAGAGTGACCGTCGACCACAAGCCACTTGACTAGTGACAGACAAACAAGTGTCACCAGATCGGTTAATCGGCTTTTGTGCCTGGGCCACGTCTGCCCAAAACCCTGTCCGCGCGCTTCCTGCTCGAGTCAAGGGCGCCACGTAGTGATGCCAAGAAACAATTTGACCCTCCCAGCAGCCCCCGAGCCTCGTTGGGTCGCCAGTTACAGACATGCAGATCGCAGAGCCGCGCTAGAGCACCCCGATCGTGGCTCACGTCACTCGTCTCAGGGTGGTAGGCATCAAGGCTCAAGAGAACACCGCCCACATGAGCGCGTACGCTTGACGAGCAACTTATGTCAAGCTCCCGCGAGCCCGGTCCGATGAGCGTCGGGACCATGCAACCCGCTGCCTTGCAAAAGAAAAATCAGGGCCGGAATATTGAGCCCGTAGCGTGTACCCCTGTGTGCGACCTCCGCCGTCGCAACCCGCGGGCTCGCCCGCACAAGCAACCAAGTTGGACACCACTCCGATGGTTACGTAGCACTTCCCGCAAGGATAAATCAGAAAGAACATGAGGGATTCTGAACCGGTGAGCGCTTACTGAAGAGAGGATGATTTCCGGGTTCTTAGATGCTACCACAGGCCTGCCGCAGCCCAGCAGAATACGACTTGGTTGGCATGCGCGTCGACTGGTGCCGACCCACGTCGGCCGATATCGACCGCCGCCTGGTCAAGATCCAAGCGGCTCCGAGAGCCCCAGAAAACCCCGGCCCTCGCAGATGTCGAACAGCCCAGGCTCCAACGACGGGTTAACTAACATGAACATGTGGCGCCAACCTACGTACCTAAATAGGTGGTGCCGACTAAAGAGGTAGGTAAGCGAATTTAATCGCACGCGTTTGGTAACAGGCAGAAAAAGCTGGAACGAGTCTGGTCTGCACATGTGGAACATGACGCTGACTCGCCGGTATGCTGTGGGGAGAGGGGGGAGCCCCATTGGTTCCCGGTATGCAGGGACGAGCCCTGAACGGCAGCCAGCGGCCAGGGTCAAGCGAGCCAAGATCAAGGGGCGCAACGTTCGTACTCACCCGTATGGCTGCCCTCTCTCTCTGTTTTTAGGTCGCTTTGGTTCCCCAAGGACGCCTGCCCTGGCCCTCCCGGCCAGATGCTGATACGCATACGGGCAGACTCAGGGGAGCGAGCGAGCGACAGCATCTCATATTCACCCAGCCGCCAATCACCCAAGGGCAGAGCACGCCACGCTTCTATCTTGGGCTCCTACCCATGCGCCTTATCCTCGTTATGCTTATCTCGCGGGCCGCCGCCAACCCAAACAACACCACCCGTCACCCCTCACTTATGTCAGCGCTCGTAAGGTTCTCGCCAAGCGGATGAGAATGTCCGAGTGCACCGGCGCCTGCTCGCACTCGTCGGGGGTTTTGATTGCTGTCATCACCCGCATACTCGGGCCCTGCGAACGCACTGCATTCCCTGTCTGCCTGCCTACCTGCCAACTCACCATCACTACATACCACCACAGGCGCCTTGACCTCTCGGCATAAGTGGCACATCCTATAGTGCAGCGAGCATGTCTAGAACAGCAAAACGCGGCAGCAGTCCCACGGAGACGGATATAGATTTAATGCTTTCATCGTTTCGCCAGGTCGGTTATGTTTCCAGGCTTGGCATTATAGGGAGCGTGTCTGACACTTGCGTGCAGATCGACCGTTCGAGACAAGCATTGGGAAGGCGCATGGAAGAGGACGCAGGATGCACACCAAGCACTTCAAATATCCTCCAACGACCAAGGGGAGGGGGACCCTCTCTGTATGTCTAAACGGGGTGACATTCGCGCACCCACGTGCCTGGTCCCCTCAAAAGGTCCACATTTTCTTCACTTTCAGACGGGCAGCATGCCCACTCGCCCCAACCCGGCCCAGGTCGGAGCAGGTCTCACGGCAGGGAACCCCGGCCGGGGTCACTACTCGCTCATCCCCGAGGCCGCCCCACGTTTACTCTGTACACAATCTTCATGTCCCTTTGTGTGCCTCGAAGCAGGTTTTACCTGGCGCCAAAGGGGAATTTAAACTACACGGACGCCGCAAGCCAAGGATGGGGCCGTTTCTTAGCGGACCCTACTACTTGTCCCGGCAGACCTGTATGTATCTTTAAAATAACAGCCAGGGCGCCTGGATTCCGTCGAAACGCCACGGCCTGCTGCTCTCCTTGTTTTCTTCCCCCGGTCAGTCGACATGAGTCCTCGATACCGCTAAGCCCTCAGAGACATCGACTGTCCTGCGTGGTGTGCGGGGCTCGTGAGGAAGGAAATCCCGCTCTCGGCGACGACGACGACGACGACGACGACGGCGACAACAACAACAACGACGACCCTCCACAAGGCCGATCCGTTCGCCACTCGCCGGCCATGTCGTCCGAAATGGAGTTCGACCGCACCAAGAACCCCGAGCTCTTCTCGTCGGAAACGAGAAGGGGCGAGATAATTGCCGTCAATGTGACGCTGCTCGCCTTCGTGACCATCATCGTCGCCCTGCGCTTCTACACGCGCACCGTGATCCTCCACACCCTTGGGCTGGACGACTGGCTCGTCCTCCTGAGCCTAATAATCCTTGCCGCCCTAGTTAGCAATGAGTTTGTCCGTACGTGCTTGCTTGCTGCTCGCGGCCCGAGGGGGACTAGATATTTCGGTTATCCTCTTACCGTTCTGTGCTGACTGGGCCTCACTCGCAGTCGAAAGCAGGGGCCTTGGCCACCACATTGGGACTCTCCCGATTGGTGGTTTCAAGGAGTATCTCAAGGCCTTCTACGTCAGCATCCAGCTCTATAACCTCGCCATTGCTACCATCAAGTTCGCCTTCCTCGCTCAGTACCACCGCATCATGACGGTTCAGAGCATGAGGAGGGACGTCCGCATCGTGAGCACCATCGTGGGCTGCTGGTCCGTGTCGCAGATCATCGTGGGCTTGGTGCCATGCAATCCCATCTCGGGCTTCTGGGAACTGACCGAGGACACCGTCTGTCTCCCTGAGCTGCCGACATGTGAGTTATAGGCCCCATCCTTTGAGCCTGCCAAGCCGCGACTCGTCCTGATACATGATGTAGGGTACGCCAACGCCATCGGCAACATCATTGCCGACATCATGATCATCGTGTTGCCTCTGCCCATGATCAGGCGCCTCAAGCTGCCTCGCACGCAAAAGCTCGTGTTGGGGGGAATCTTCTGCCTTGGATTCTTGTAAGCGGGATCCATCTGATAGACCTGGAAGCCTGGCGGATCATTCGTTCTAACCATTACCCGTTTCTCTATTTAGCACCTGCGGCATCAGCGCGAGCCGCATTCGGTTCCTCGGCAACCCCGTCGACACCACCTGGGAGAACCTGGACGCCGAGGTATGTGAACAAGCCAGCAAGCAAACCGCACCAAATAGTCACTAGATCCATCAACTAACCCGCCTCTCCTCCTCCCCCACACAGTTCTGGTCTCTCGCCGAGATCTGCAGCGGCATCGTGTGTGCCGTGCTGCCCACCCTGCGGCCCCTGGCCGGCCGGTGTTTCCCCCGGTACTTTGGCTCGCGCAGCAACCGCTCCTACTTCCTCAGCCAGGCAACGGACGCCACGTGGCAGCAAAAGTCCTTTGGCGGTACCGGCGGGTTCGGCGGTGGCGACCGCAAGCCGTCGGCGGCGGCGCGCGCGTCGCGCCGGGCGCCCGACCACGACGACGAGGAGATGATGTGGCCGCACACAGAGGAGAGCAAGCCGGAGCAGAGCAGCACCTTTGAGGCCCGGGACGACGACTTTGTCGAGATGCACGGCTCCCCCGCCGCGCCCGCCGCCGCCCAGTCGCCGCCCGCCTACCCACAGACCGCACACACCAGGGCCCCGGCCACAAAGATCGCCGGAGGGGCGGGCGGTGGCGGCGGCAACGACGAGCGTAACTCTACTCATTCTACCGTCCTCAAGGCGCCGCCGCGCAAAAAGAGCCTGACGGGCGAGACGACCACGCCGTTGCAGATTGCTGTTCCTCGGGATACCTACATAGAGTCCGTGGAGGAGAACCCTAAGCCCATATGATTTTCAATCCAAACTTCCATTCGTTACTCTCAAACTTGTGACTCTCGACTGAATTGTTTGCTTGTGCCTGCATCACAAACCCGTGCCACTCAGCGACAAGCAAAGTAGCAAATGTGATTAGCGCGAATCGATATGGAAATCTAGACGCCTTGGGCACCTTGGACACCTTGGGCACCTTGGTTCGGTGCAGAAGACGCACTTCCAACCTCCCTCAAAGCGCCCCTGAGGAGCTTTCGACCAGGCAAGACGCATCTATGCCCCCAAGCCCCACTTTATATCGGATTCTTTGGAGTCCCTCCTCCCCCGCACCAGCTCCCAAATACGAAAAGAAATATCACCTCTGTCACCACCAAGCTGCCTCGTCCGTAACAACTCTGCCCATCCCCCTCCTACCTCAGTCCTCATCAACTTCCCGCAGCCATGTCGATCATCGTCGCCAACGTCGCCAACGTCGGCAGCGACGCGGTCTTCTCCTCCTCTGCTTTCACCTCGCCGCCACCGATGTTTGGATGCTAATCATCACGTATCCACAGTTCTGCGCCGCAAAACAGCACTTCCTGCTCTGGGGTATGGTGATAATCCAAGCTACGGGATATCAAACGGCCCAGAATGATTATTCTCGTCTCGTCGGGGTAAGCAGGCTTTGCAGCTAACCACAATGGTTGATTTTTTCTTCTTCTCCGGATACTAACGTATATTACTTGGTAGTATCTGAGCTCGAGCGGCGCTTGGTACAACATGGCTCTGTGGCTCTCCAAGGCCTCGATCTTCTGCACGATCCAGGGCTACCCTGCCGGGAGGCAGAGCTGGGCCAAGGTGACCAAGTGCGGAATTTACGCGCTTATGTGCCTCGTCTTCATGAAGTACCGGTGCCAGACAGAGACTTTGCCGCCCCATCGTCCGTTAACCTGTTCCGTCCAGGTAGGTTCCAGGATCCGGAAAAAAAAAGCACTCGCTCTTCTCATTCTTGCTGCTGGTTTATGCTGATAAATGTGCCTTCCTCTTTTAACTCGCCACGACAGCGTGGGTGCTATTTTATACTATGCATTTGCCATATTATTGCCGAAATGAGCATTATCCATGCCATCCGCTCCATAATGAGGCGGAACGTCAACCTGTTCGAGAATAGCTCCCTGCTTCACTACGCACCTTTGACACGATACCTGTGAGTCTCCACATGCCGTTCGTTGCAAACATGATTACCCCTTTCTCTGGCAGTGCGGTTCAGCCAACCGACCTGAAATCTCCCAACAATGCAACAGGCCAACACAGTGAGCTTGGTGTCGACCCCGGTCTTGTGCTCTCAAGGGCCGGTGCACCGTCGTGTGCTCTTCCAGTCTCAAAACAACAAGCATGTTTTTTTAGACCAGCACAAAACAAAGGTCTCTACTGGAGCTTGTTGATCTTAACTCTGATTACAATTCTCTAAAGACCCAAGGGAAACTGCTCATTTTACATGGCCAGGTCGGTTCTTGCTCACTGGTCCCGAGTTCTTCTCGGCCACAATACCACTCGCACCCGGCTCCAGGTTCACCGTCCCCTTTAGCTCCAGATCTCTGCCATATCGTAGTTGTAATGCTGGTCAAAGCTCCGCCCAGGCTGCAGCTCGATGCCGTAAAGGCCGAAGGGCTTGACGAGCCGAGGGTCCCAGTGTTTCAAGCAGTAGTCGGCGATCATATCGAGCCCTAAGAGTATCCCGTCCCAAGACGGCAATCGATTAGGAAGAGCTCACAACACGGCGACAGGCCCTCCAGACCAAGGCAGAGAAATGTCCCCCAAAGCAATAATAAACGCAGCACTCACCGGCACCAGCACCGCCCGACGTCCACAACTCGCCCTCACCCTCGCCTTCGAACGGCTTCGAGTCGACGACCCAGCGCAGGTCGGCCCACTCGACTCCCGGGTGCATCTTCTTCGCCAGCGGCAGCGCCATCCTATTCGTGGTGGCGCGCCTCCCGTCGAGCCCGACGGCGTCGGCGAGCCACAGGGCGCCGGTGCACGTGGTCATCCAGACGGGCGTGCGGCGCCAGGCCTCGCGCATGAAGCGGGAGGCGGCCTCGGGCCGGACCCCGGGGGTGTTGCCGCCCACGAGCACCAGGTCGAGGTCGCGCGGGCAGTCGTCGTAGGTGACGTTGGGCGCGTACCGGAACTGCGCCGTCAGCTCGACCGGCTCGAGCGTCGGCCCCATGTAGTAGACCTTGAGCTCCTCGATGCCGAGCGGGGCCAGCGCCGCGACGGAGGCGTCAAGCTCGGCCGCCGCGAGGATGTACTCCTTGCTCAGGTTGCCGAAGATGTCGATGCCGACGATGTCGGTGAGCTGGACGCTGCTGGGCGTTAGTGCAAGTCCTGCCTTGTTCGCTTCTGGGGGTGTTGTGGGTAGGATGCATGCAAGCTACTTGTAGGAGAAGCTTTTGTTCCATCTTACCTCTCGAGTAACACGCCAATGCGGTAGGTCTTGGTGGTGGTGGCGGCCATGTTTGCCGGTGGATGGGCTCAAGTAAGAGCGATGAGTATCAGGCCAGGTAGTGAAACGAGACCCAGTGTTGTCGGTTGTGAATCGATGGTCTATGGTCTTTGGGAGATGGAGGACTGGGCGACAATATATATAAGGAGGGGGCATATGTACGCCGCATACCCTCAAGACCGGCGCATCTTGAGCGCGATATCACCACTCCGCGCGACGTCGGCGGGATCAGCGCGATTCGGCGCTACTGCCCCCCAAGAAGGCCTGTGGACGTCGATTTTGGCAGCGCCAGACGCCCGTGCCTGCGGCTAATGGCGCTGCGGGCCCGCTAATGCACCCAAGCCTCCGACCTGCATCGGACCCAACGGTCCCCATTTTCCATGTGGGCTCCCTAGGCCGTGTCCAGCGATAACGTCCCTGCAAAAACGTGAGTGTATTCGGCGAGGCAGAGGGACGAGATACCACACGAGATACTGGATGGGTGCACTCCATCGGGCAATGTTTACAATCACAGCAAGAAAGGCAAGCGGTCTGAACAAAAAGTAAAGTTAAACCGTAGCCAAGAAGCCTCCCATATGTATAGGTAAGTAGGATATTAAACGTTACGACCCGCAGATCCTTCCTAATTAGGCCACGTCCAATCTACATTTTTTTCCCATAGAAAGTCCCGCCAAATTAATGTACCGCTACCCGCACCTCCATTTGCCAGCACCCATTAAAATCGTCCCAAGCTGTTAGTTGCAATACATTAATTCCTACTACAAATTGTGCGTTGAGATATGTACCCCTACCCCTCTTGCTAACACCCTGGCAGACCCCCCTTTATTAGGCCCACAGCGCGTAACGTTTAATATCCTACTTACCTGTACAAAAAATGAGCGCCTCCTACAAGTAGATGTAGCAGAACTCGCCACCCTTGCCGCCAAGGGTGTTGAGAAGGCTGCCGAGCTTGACGTCGCCGCCGTTGACGCCGATGTTGACCATGTCGTCGCGGGAGCCGGGGAGCCCGGCACTCGTGTCGCCGCCCACGGCGTTGAGGCGGTTCTCCAGGTCCTGCATCTGCCAGATCCAGTAGACGCGGTCGACCATGGCGTGGTGGACGTAAAAGTAGATGTCGCCGGCCGAGGTGAAGATGTCGCCGCCGGGGTCGCCGCCGACGGTGAAGTGGCCCATGGCGTGCACGCCCAAGGCGACCTGCATGGTGTCCTGGAAGCTCCTGATGTCGTTGCTGCTCGTGATGAGGGCGAACGTCTTGTCGGCCGTGGTGTGCGTGGCGTTGGACTTGCTGATGTCGCGCGTGAGGCAACGGGGGTTGAACTCGAGGGAGTTGCCGGGGCCGAGGTTCACCTTGATGTCGGCGAACGGTCCCGTCTCGACGCAGGCGCCGGGCCTGGGCGAGTTGCCGCCGAGACTGGATGCGTTTCCGTTGAAGAGGGGCGAGTTCTCGGGGTCCTTGGCGTAGCGGTCCCAGTTCCAGTATGGCTGGTAGCCCGTGTAGCCACACTCGTTGCGGAGGGCCTGCTCAAAGCCCCACGTGTAGTAGCGATGCCACGCCAGGAAGTTGGCGGTGCTGTGGATGTTGGGGGTTTGCTGGATGTGAGCAACGAGGAAGTCGTCGTAGCGGCTCCTGGCGCCCGGCGCTTCCGAGGCGCTGAGCTTGGTGGGCTTGGTCATGATGCACCTGACTGCCGCGATGTATTCCTCACGCTGGGGGACAGACAGATCGCTCCTGTTCATAGCATTAGCATCAGTATATCGCTGAAACGGCAACTCGAGAAAACCGGGATGTTATCTTACCACTCGTGTCGAATGGCGGCGTTCTCGAGAGTGCAGCCGCCGCTGGAAACGTTGTTCCTGGAGAAAGACTGAAGCTTGCTGAAGCTCGAGTCTCTAAGCGTATCCACCACGTCGGCAGGAAAGGCGCGGGATGTGATGGGCGAGGTAGTGGTGGGAGCAGCGACAGCGCTGGAGGTGGAGCTGCTGCCGGCAGAAGTGGTGGCCTCTGGGGCCCCAGGGGTGTTTGTGGTCTCCGCCGGGCCACTGGTAGTAGACGTGCTCGAGCCGGCAGGCACGGTCTGGGTGGAGCCCGAAGTGGTGGAAGCCGGAATGGCAGCCGAGCTGGAAGATAAAATGATAATCGAAAGGGTGGACAGAGTGGAAGGAAACAAAATAACAGGCAAACCGGTCAAAACAGACACGGCAGTGTTGGCGGAGCTAGCCACCGAAGACACGGGGGTAGTCAGCCCGGAAGAAGAGACAGATTTGATGGACGCGGCGCCGCCGCCGCCGCCGCCGCCGCCGCCGGGGGCGCAGCTGGAGGCCGAGGACCCGGACAGGGCCCAGCTCGTGCCGCAGCTGACGCCGGGCGCGTTGAGCTCGACCACGACGCCGCTCGACAGCGGCGTCTCGATGGCCGGCAGCATCATGTCCACCATCTCGCAGTTGCCCCGCTGCTCGGCCGACATGACCTCCATGCCCATGTCCGCCGTGTCGAACCGCAGCCTCTCGCGCGCGTCGGGCCCCGTCCAGGGCTTCCACTCGGGCGAGCCGGCCAGGCGGAACTTGTTGGGGTCGAGCGAGCGCACGAACGAGGCCCAGTAGGCCATGGTGATGGGCACAATGGCCTTGTTCTCGGCCGCGTAGCTCTTGGGCGGCGCCCCGTCCGTGTTGTTGGGCCCGAAGACGGCGTTGAGCTCGACCGTGTGGTAACTCCCGAACCCGAGCCGCTCCTGCTCCTCGTCCCGCACTGCGAACCGGTAGTTGTACGTCCGGACGCCGTCCCGCGCCTGCGCGTTCTGCACGCGCGCCGTGATGCAGTGCTCCCTGAAGTCGCCGAAGCCGACCGACATCTGCCGCCACAGCGGGCCCGCCCCCACGGACTTGCCGTTGGCGTCGACGGCCCCCGTGAAGTCGGGCTGCTGCTTCTGCAGGTACGCCTTGTCCAGCAGCGCGAGGCTTGCGTTGCTCAGCGCCCCGAACGCCTGGCTGTTGAAGAAGGTGAGCGCCTCCGCCGTCGTGTTGATCCCCTTGGGCACACTCTTGGTCCCCTCCTCGGCGCACGTCCCGACGATGGTAGGCACCTTGAGGTACAACCCCTGGTCGAACCGCGCCAAGCTAGGGCTCTTGATCAGGTCGTCGTCGAAGCCCGGGTTAAACTGGCACGGATCGGCCTGCAGCGCCGACGAGTTGGCCGCCCGGAGGCACGCGAGCGTGTCGGTCGCCGTCGTGCACCCGGTGGCGTTGAGGAGGCACGCGTACTGCTCCTGACCCTGCTCGATCGTGCGGATGGTGGCCACCGACGTGGACTCGAGGATGGCGCCCTTGATCATGGCCGTCTTGGGATCCTCGTCGGCCCAGGCCGCCAGCAGGAGCTGCACTGCCGTCGCCCCGGCTGAATCCCCCACGGCGACGATTTGGTCGGGGTCGCCCCCAAACTTGTCCACGTGCTGCTTCAGCCACTTGGCCGCCTGGATCATGTCCTTGAGGCCATTGTTCAGGCTGGCGCCCTCCTTCACCTCCTTGCTCTGCAGGAACCCGAACGGCCCGACTCGGTAGTTAATCTGGGCCACTATGATGTTTCCGAACGCGGCCAGGTCGCTGCCGTTGAAGTTGGCGTTGGAGTTTGACTGGAATCCTCCGCCTTGCAGCTGGAGCATCACCCCCAGCTTTGAGGTGGCTGTCGCGTTGGTCGGTGCAAATATGTTGACAAAGAGACAGTCCTCGGCCACGGTGAATCTCTTGTTCGGCTGGTTCGTAAAGTCGGACGCGGCCCTGGGCAGGCATATAGGACGGAACTATGGCGGCCGCGGGTCAGCGACACTCGGCAGCAACGCGGCTCCCTCCGCCCTTGACCATCTTACATTGCTACCATCCTCGACAGTCCCGTTTGTAGGCTCAGGATCTATGGGCGCGGCAAAGCGCAGAGCTCCCACAGGAGGAGCCGCATATCGAACACCAAGCCACCGTGTGGCGCCGCCCGACTCCGCCACGCCTTGAACCTTGGTGTACCCCAGGTCTACCAGAGAGTCGACCGCTTGGACCGGATGCCAGGCGGCGAGAGAAAGGAAGGAGACCAGAATCCCTGAACACCGCATTTTGCAACCAGGCATGCGACGCAACGTTGAAAGGGAAAAGCAAAAGAGTGGGTAGAAGGGGAAAAGGAATGAAGAGAATGCATGGAAAGGAGTGGGCCAGAAAGAGACTAGACGAAAAAGATGGCAACGAGCCGCAACTTTTAACCAGCAGACGGGAGCAGCATGACTGCCCTGGGCGTGGTGCGCCGGGATCTGCCTGGTTCTCAGCAACAATTAAGGTTCGTTTGAAGACCCAAGGGACCGGCCCCAAAGTCGGCGCGCTCCGTCCCCTTTGCCAGCAACAAGCTCGTGCACGCAAACCGTATGCCATCTCACCTTCCCTCCCCGCTTCTTTGTTTCTCCATTTCCCCTGGGCACGCTTTCCCTGCTTGACTTTTGCGAGGGGAGGACGTCTCGGTTTCACAGAAGTTTGAGCTGGATCATACCTCTGGCTTCACTTTTTCGTGTGAGGACTTGCTTGACCTTGATGCCCTCCTCTCCAACGGTTCGGCGGTAACAAGCAAAATGTAAAGGACGTCGACGCCAGGAAGAGCCGCCTCTCGCTTAGCCTGGGCCGTGAAAGCTGATGAGGCGTTCGAGGTATTTTGGCCCATGCCGCACGACCCGCTGAAACAACTCTTTCTCACCGACTGGACACATAAAGGCAGGATATCTACTGTTAATTATTCGCTTAGGCTAGTCAAGATATAAGGCAAGAGACGCATGACAAAGCAGCCGAGGGGAGTCTGATTAGGGGGGAGGGGCTGCCTGCCATATCAGCACCATATTTTAACATGAGGAGCAGTCTTGGCAGTCACAAGTGTCAAAAAGGCAATTGAAGGTTCTTGCCGCGGGGCAAGACCTGAGTCGGGGCCAAAATGCAAAAGAAATGGCAAGGGGTTTTGCCTGCCTGCCGCTTTTGGTCCAAGCGTCAACGGCATGCACTAGGTTTGTGTGTAATGGTACCATCTGCAAAGGAAAGAAAAAGGAAAAACCCACCTCCCAACAGGGGGGGTTAAAACTGGAGATCACAGGGGCGGCAAGTCACTGCCATTATTAAAGTTGGTGAAAAAAGTAAAGAAATCGAGAAAAGCTTTTAAAAGACGAGAAATGCTTAAAATCTTGTACCTAACATCCCCCCAAGTCACCACGACCCCTGCGATCTCCAGTTTCAACCCCCCCTGTTACCCACCCTCCTGTTACTGGGTGGGTTTTTCCTCTTTCTTTCCCTCGCAGATGGTAGGTATATATCGTGCTTGCTCGTGTCAGTACACCACACTCACAATAATAGATGCCTCACTTTTTATCTCACTGCACTTTGAATGCGCAAAAGGTCGCTGGCTCTTGCGTTTTTTCCTAGCGCCAAAAGAGAATGTCAAAAGGGATGGCATGTGACCTCGCGTGGGAAGGCACCAGTCGCGTGTCCCGCCTTCGCTAGACCTATAATTAGCAACAAGCAAACTTGAAGTATTTTTGGGCGAGTGGAGGCGCATTCTGCTACACCCAAAATGAGTACCACCCTGTCCACATCGTCTTGTTCCTAGCCCGTGGCGATGGCATTAATAGTCCAGACTCCAAATCACTTCTACGTATAATGTCTGAGGTATTCTGTCATGAACAGGGCGCGCCGGTATACTCCAACATGGCGTGTCGAGAGGTGCAAAGATTGTTTGCGAAGGCGTATAGTGCGGGTCTGACAACCAAAGTAGACGAGGAGGGATGTGGCCTCACAACTTCCGTCCCCGTGGCACTACATCACATATCCGCCAAGGGTCACCAACCCAAAACTCAACCAAGTCACGTTCAGATAGTGTAGTCAAGAAAATAAGCAAATTGGTAGTATGAAAGCCGAATTTCTCTTTCCACCTATACAACCACCAAACAAACATAAATGCCCCATCTCGTATCGCTTCGTGGTATTGTAGGACAGGATAACGCTACTAAAAAAAAACAGGCTTGCTCAAAAAAGGAGGAAAGGAAATGCTCGGGTCGGCGCAAGCGCTGGGAAAGTCAATGCCGTTCCCTTGACTCAGCAATAATAAACGCCCATGGAATCTAGCGACCAACCGACCAGAAATATGAAGCCCAAGCCAAGACGCCGTTGGTATCCAGAGAGAAGTGGATTGTATTTGCTTGTATACGTGCTATAACTCTAGGCCCTCTAGGCCTCGAAGCGCTTGCCAACGACGCCGTCACGGCGCTGCAGCGACTGCGCCAGGGCGGGGGCGGGGGCGGAGGGGAAGCCCTGGAAGCGCTGGGCGCCACCGGATTGCGCGAAGCTGGTCATGAGGGACCAGACGGCGAGCGCGGCGCTGCCGCTAGTGCCCGACTTCTGGCGGTCGGCCATGGCGGTCAGGTCGGCCATGGAGATGGTGATGGTGTTGGTGGAGCTGGGGCCGACCTCCTGGCGCTTGGCGTTGTAGCCGGGGGCGGTCGGGACCTTGCCGACGTCAGCCATGGGCATGGTGCTGAGGCCGAGCTTGGGAGCGGAGCCGTCGGCGCCGATGGTGCCCATGCGAGCGGGAGTAGGGGCAGTGGCGGGAGCACCAGCAGCAGGAGCCGAGGCGGCGGGAGCCGAAGCGGCGGGGGCGGCAGCAGAAGTAGAGGCAGCGGGAGCCGAAGAAGCAGGGGCGGCAGGGGCGGCAGGGGCGGCAGGGGCGGCAGGAGCAGCGGGCTGCTGGACAACCGGGGCGGCAGCACCAGCACCAGCGGCGGCGCCACCACGGGAGACGGTTACAATGAACTCGCCGTCAAGAGAGCCGACAGGGACAGCGATGCGCATGTTGCGGACATCAAGCTGGGGCTGCTGGTTGACCTGGGCAAAGGTAGGGTTAAGGAGAAGCTGGTTGGCAAGGTTGAGGTTCTGGCCCTGGCCCTGGCCTTGGCCCTGGCCGCCGTTGTTGTTGTTCTGGTTGTTGTTGTTGTTCCGGTCGCCGTTGCCACCACGGGCCTGGCGCCTGCCGATGCGGCCAAAGTTGCCGGCCACGTTGGGCTGGAACTGAACACCACGCTGAGCAACGCCGACAGCGATGCCCTCGTTGGCCTGGATGCCCATCTGGCCAGCCATGGCCAGCAGACGCTCGGGGTTCACTGGAGGGGAGTCAAGTCAGCTGATGTTCATGTCTTCCAGGCGTGTGATGCAGGGGTTTGTGACTTACGAGGCATCTGCACGACGGCGACCATGTTGTTCAGGTCAGGGGTGAGTCCACCGAGGTTGGTCTGGACAAGGTAGCGGAAGTTGTCTATGGAGCGTCTTGTTAGTGGCTGCGCAAGAGATTGGGGCGGCCAGGTAGAGTGAAAATGCCGGCGCGACTTACTGATGGGCTGGACACCACCGACAAGCTGGTTGGCGCTGACACCGTTGACGACGTCGGTAGCGAGTACCATGGGCTGGTTGCTGCGGATGGACAGACGGAAGCCGTCGGCGAACTCGACCTCCTGGATACCACCACCCTCGATCTTGACCTGGTTGGCAGCGGCGTTGCCGAACTGGGTGAGAACGACGCTGGACTCGACGGTCCTACGGCCAACAACCATGAACTCGCCATCAACCTTGTTGAGCTTGATCATGCGAACGGTGTTATCGGTACTGGACAGCGGTGTCTTTTGTTAGCACCGATGCCCTCAAGAGCGTCGGGTGTGGTAGAGTATACTCACGTGTTGACAGACTTGATGTCCTCCTGGACAATCCAGGCCTGGCGGTCCGAGGACAGCATCGCGACAAAGGTGTTCTCGGGCTTGATCTCAGCGGCCGCCAGCAGGGCAGGGTCGATGGCCAGCTCGATCTGGCCGCCAACCAGGTCGACGGCCCTGTTGGTCTGGATGTTGAGCGAGTTCCTGCTGAGCGGGACGAAGGGCTGGCCGGTGGAGCCAACGACATTGGCGCCACCAAGGGGGTTCGGGTTCAGGTTGGCGATGAGCTGCTGCTGGGACTGCGAGAAGGTCTCGATCTTGGACCCATCGGGGAATTGCAGCTGGTTCAGCTGCATGTCACCGTTGATGTTGATGACCTGGTTGAACTGGACCCGCTGCTGGGCAGCAGCGAGGGCGGCGAGCCAGAGAGACAGGCTGCCGAGGGAAAGTACTGAGGAAACCATCGTGAGGGTCTAGAGAGTGTCGGCCACCTGGGCAGATTATGTTAAATTCGGGCTTATTAAGAAAATAGGATAAAAAGAAGAGTATCAGAAAAGGAGTGATGATACGGATGAAAGAGAGACAAAGTGGGCCGGCCGAAAGGAAGAGATGAATAGCTCCAGGCTCGCGATGATCACCACACAATAGCGATGGTGAGGAAACAGAAACAGAGGTGGCGATGGGACGGGGACACGCCCATTGTTATATCACGGGGGGGCGGCAGCGCGAGGCGGGTATCGCGAGCCACCCACACAGGGGCGCCTCGGAAGTCCGGGAAGGCAAGCCAGTCGAAGGCAGTCAAGGAGTGCTCGGGCTCGACAAGTTCCGGGACGTGGATCACGGACTAGCGGAGTCCAGTCCCCATGTAACCATGGTCTTCTTCGTCGAGCAGTGGCGAGGCTCGAGGCTCTCCGCATGCTGCTCTCGCCATGCACTGGTCGGTCTGATTTTTCTTCGTTGCTGGGGGGCTTCTATAGCCCTACCCTACCGTGCCCGGTCCCCTGCAAACGCCAAGAGAAGCACCTGGCGGGACTCCCAGGCAGAGGGGAGCCCATCACCCGGGGCCAGGGACACAGGTTCAGCGGCTGGTGAGTCCACTGGAGCCCAACGACGACGGGGGCAAAGGGCCGGAGGGTCCTCGATCCGATGGGGCCCTGTCGGGGCCTCGCTTGGGAGGTCATCACAGCGTGACGTGACGTCGGACGAGCCGCCCCAAAGAAGGCGCGACCCGCCTTCTGGGGCAAAACTACATGTCCCAGGGATCACAAACCCTAGTATAGTAGATCCTGGTGGTACATCAGTTTGGCTTGGTTTTCTAAGGAAGAAAATGTATCTTGCATCCATCACATTAAGGTTTGTGATCCCTGGGACCTATAGTTCGAACCGCATGGGTGGGAGGCGCATGGGGGGGGGTTGTTCTGTTTGACCTTGGGGTTTCGGATCTCTCGAGGGCGAGAGCAGGGACCAGATGAGGGGTCCCTGGCGGGGATTCCCATAGCTGCGGATCCCTTATTGGCCCAGGCCTGGTGGGCCTCTAGATCGGATTCGGCAAGGGGTCGACGCGTCTTGTGCCAAAAGCGGCACGCCAGCTGCCGCCTCGAGGCTAGAGCTGACAAGGCATCTTTGCGCGTGGGGCAGGCGTAGTCGCATCCGAGACGGCAGATATTGGATGACAGCGCCAACGGCAGTGGATGCAGACAAGAAAGCACGCTGCCCATGATGGTCTTTACACTCTTGCCAGATGAAATCCCCATGGTGGGTGGGGTGGGGGAAAAAGGTCGGACCAACACAAACAAACATCTCCGCCAGCAGCCACAGCTTCGTTCACGTCCACTCATCCATCTGCAGTGTGTGCTGCTACCTAGCATCTAGCTCAGGTCTAGAATAACTCTAATATGTCGATCGTCGAGACTGTATCACCCGTGCATTGGGTACTTCTCGGGCAACGCACAACCCCGTGTAGATTCCTGTGCACTGCGTATGGACTGCCGTCCGCGACGACGCTGGTGCCGCTCTTCCATCAGCGTCGCCGTAGCTACGGATCCCATCCTCACCTCGGTTTCCCTGCTTCTTTACCGACCCTCATCTTGAAAGGTCCCGGGCCGTCTTTGCAGCAGCGTACCTATCACAGGCTGCCCAGAGCTAAACAGGAACAAGCATTTTAAGTGTTTGATTCCGGTTAATATTATGCCCGGAGCTTGGCTCTCCACGCAGGCCTTTGCGATCTCTACTAGGGAAAGTGATAGAAAGTTGGTTAATAACGAGCGGTCGCGTGCGCACAGGCACATCGGATGCCCCGTCCCGCAACAGTTGCCGGGCTCAACGACAGTTTTACCTGGCTGCCCAGAGCTCGCATTAAGGTTGGGCCGAAGCATAACGGCTAGCCGAAGCACTAAGCAGATGTCGGTCGGACATGGGTCCGCGGTGGAGGGGAGGGGAGTGGGAGGAGAGCAGACCTAACCAGGTCAGGGCAAGATCAGAACCCCCCAATGCGGCAGGCGGCAGGCGGAAGGAAGGCACGCCAACGTGCGACGACTCGTTCGTTCATGATGTTAGGCGCGTTTGGTGTCAGGACCCGCCACACCATTGCCCCCTCTGGGAACGCCCGAAGCAATAACGGGGGACCATTAATGAGGCGCGGCAGGGGTTGAGCTTCTTGGCGCCAGCAGTTCTTGGCACACCAAAGTTTCCACGGTTCATGCATTGTGTGCCGACGAGTGCAGCCGTGAGACACTTTGCCCGCCAGGAGTCTCTGTATGCACGCGCAGTGGTACTGTGTACAAGTCCTAGGATATTAAACGTTACGCTGTGGGTCTAACAAGGGGTGTCGACCAGGGATTAGCAAAGGGGTAGGGGTACATATCTCAACGCACAATTTGTAGTAGGAATTAATGTATTGCAACTAACAGCTTGGGACGATTTTAATGGGTGCTGGCAAATGGAGGTGCGGGTAGCGGTACATTAATTTGGCGGGACTTTCTATAGGAAAAAATGTAGATTGGACGTGGCCTAATTAGGAAGGATCTGCGGGTCGTGACGTTTAATATCCTAGAGACTTGTCGACGATGGCGGCGACTTGATCGTCGAGACACGTTTATCGTGTCGCCGCCGCAGGTAGATGGCATGTTCTGGCTCAGCCTCCACCTAGGGGAGTCCTAGTCCACATGGCCGTGTGTTGTCGCACCAACCGGGATTTGCCGTCTCTGCTGGCTCGCCAATCACACCAAGCGCATCGGTCGGGCATTTTCCCAGTCTGGATTATTTGCCCAGACTGATATTGGGTTGAGCGCACGCACCGCACGCCGATCTAGCCTACGGCCCCAGCCGCAGCCCGTCATCGCTGCTGTCAACGTGTGAGGCTGCGAATCCGTGATCTCCTGTGATCTCTCTGTCTCGATTGATCATCGCGCGTCTGCCGCCCTAACAGCCAGCTCTGACAGCGCAGAAACACCTTTCACTATTATATGATCAGCTGCGCATCTATTGTCAACGCCGACGTTGACACATAACCCAAGCAACTGCGCGTGGTGGTTCTGTGGTTCTGTCTGTCCCGCCTATGGCGAGGGATCCAAGCACATCACATCTATGGCGGTCAGCACCCGGGCGGCCTCACGAGGTTGCAACCCCAGACACGGCAGGCAATATCGATAAAACAAGGGGCTTTGATGTGCACAGACATACACCCCGCCACTCCCACACCACCACCCCCCATCCATGGTGACGGTCCGCAGACAGAAAACGTCCGACTCGAAGCCGACAAGAATCAGCTCTGAAACAATCCAAACGCATCTCCACCTCAGATCCCCTCCCCTGCCCCCAACCCTCGCCTACCCTGGGCCCCCAAGCCTCGCGTGGATATGGTCCACCACAAGTCGGATAAAACGGCGCAAGCTTCGACTCGGGCCATGGCAAAAGCAAAAAAGAAAGAAAAAAGCAAAAGCATCGTCGAAAAGTACTCGGTGCTCGCCCGCTGGCCTGTGTCGAAACAAAATGATGAGCGCCCACTACCAAGCACGTGACGGGACTTGTGTCTTGGGCGACAGCACTCAGGCAGAGGCAAGGCCACCAGTCGCCAACGAGGCCTCTGCCGGTTGGCTCAAGCTAGATCTGACATGGACACACATATGGCTCAGCCACAAGCTGTCATGAGCGCCGGGGCGGGCGTGCACTGCACAACAGCAGATGCTCTCACCATGCTTTCTCCACCCCAGCAGGGTTGTCCCCGTCCGGTGCCTGCTGACCAACCGGCGCGAGTCCGGCCTCAGCCGCCGCAGCCCCTCCTGTGTACATCTAGAGCCAACCGTGCCTGCCTCCTCCTCGTCCGGTCTAAAGTGCTCGTGTGCCTTGCTCTTGCTGGCTGCAAAGCCGATGGGGATAGCCTCGCGACCCGGTCATGTGCAACTGAGTTCAGTTGAACTTACGACTCAGTCCTCTGCGGTATTTCACTTAGTTCGTGCGATCCTTCGTTGGCCGTTGGGATCGTGCTTCAGCCCTCGCTGTTCAGACCATCCTAGCTCTAGCCCCGAGGTACATGCATCTTGCCAGCCCGCTGTTTGTCCGTATGTGCGCTTCGTGATGCAGTCGCCCGATCATTATGTCTATGCGGCCGGCTTTCCGCCGTTAGCCCTGCATGGGCTCACGGTCATCCTCCGCAACGGTTGATCCCATCGCCTCTTCAGCTCAGCTGTTCTCTATTCCATTAATCCCAGACTTCCATCCCTTTTCTGGACGCCGTTTATTACCCTCAGACTCCCACATATCTTGTGGACATCTTCGTACTCGCCTAGGGTCTCACATCTATTAGTGCCGTTCTTGTACACACCGGGGCACGCCATAGCCGGGTACTCTGTTGCCTCTTGAACGCAACATTTTCCTCATATGGGCTTTATATCCCTCAGGATAATACCTTGGATAGACTCTATCGGCTTGTATTGGCCCACCTTCCGTTGTTCTTTCTACAAGGCAAGCCGTCGCATAGACCCACTCCTACGCATTCACTCGTTTCCTACTTGGTCACTATGAAGTGCTTTACGAACTACATCCCTGTGTTCCTCATGGCCCTTCTCCCGCCGTTTGCCCTCGCTCTGCCGGCGGACCTACCCTACCAAAACGGCAACCTACCCAGACAGGCCAGTAGCCGCGACAGCGGCACCGGAAACGGCGCACAGAACAGCATCCTGGGCCCCGGTAGCCCCCGCAACTCGAGCAACCCCGGCAACCCCGGCAACCCCGGCAACCCCGGCAACCCCGGCAGTCCTGTCACGGCGCAGCAGCAGCGCAACGCCGTGAGCGCGTGGCAGTCCGACACGGGCAAGGTATCGCACTTCCTCAACACGGCCACCACCTTCACGGGGCAGGAGTACACGCAGCAGGCGCAGATCGCGCTCGACGCCGAGCTGGACGAGCTGCTCCACAAGAAGGTGCTGGACCAGGCCCTGGGCGGCCAGCCGTCGGTGCGGGCGGCTAGCAACGTGCTCGAGACCCAGGGCTTCTTCCAGCAGGTCGTCGACGTGCTCCGCCGCATGGTCCGCGACGGCCCCGCCACGGCCGCGCGCGACGTCGACGTCATCAACCGCAACCGCTGCGTCAACGTCCTGCCCAACATCGACGCCTACTTCGCCGCCGCAGCCTCCGGTAGGCGGGCCCGCCCGTGTGGGTAAGGGCAAGTCCGCCAAGGCCAAGAGCGCAAAAGTCAAGGCACGCCGCACGGCCGCTGCAAAGGCCGAGCTTTACGACAGGGAGTGAGACAATATGATCAGGGATTCTGCGTTTGGGCGACTACCCCTCCTGTCAGTGGGGCGCTGACAGTTTTGGATCTGGCTGGCGTTTTTTTTTGTTTCTTTTTTTTTGTCCTATTTCCCGCCTTCTTCCCGAGTGCCATGGGCCTTACGGTGCTAGGGTTGGACGGTTTGAGATTGCGAGTAAGCCTTCACGGAATTATTTTGGTCGTGACCGACCCCAACGGTCTTTACTGTCCTGTCCTAGGTATGAGCTATAACAGGCGTCAAGGTAAAATGAAAATGTTGGGCAACCAGGGAATCAGGGGCTGGACAGGCATCGGCAAATATGTATGATAGTAGCAGTTTACTCACCGACCTACTTGAGGTCTACGAACACGGCGGATCTTTCTGTTATCCATGCAGTCGCATTTGGCCATCGCGAGTGTGCTGTCCAACCGGCTCTCTCAGCGCCCGCAGAGTCTCATTTCATTCTGACCCAGGCACCAGGCGAGCCACGTGCTGCAAAGCAACATAACCAATCCCAGCGCTGAATTGCCGCGATTCTCCCCGGCTCGCAGGCGGTGTGCGCGAGTCATGGGCAGCCATGGGTCCCTATCCTTTGGGAAAACAAAAAGAAGGGAAAAAAAGAAGCCGTAAAAGAAAAGTTTCGTCGACGTTTGCTTTCCCTCTTGGGCCACCAGCCCAAGCGACGGCAGGGGACCCCGACGGGGCAAAGGGGGGTCTGCCAGGCCCCTGGTTTCGACAGCCAGACAGGGGACTGACGCAGGAGAAGCATCTGTTTCAATGCATGGGTCAAGGGAGTTGTGGATTCAGCCAAGTCTAGAATCCCAGCCCGCGCCCATCTCCGATCGACGTTCGCCTGAGATCAGGCAGGCTCGGCGTTGATTGCTTTTTGGGCGAGTGGTGATCACTGGGCAACGACGTGCAAGGCAAGACTGCTGGCCGCTCTTGACCTGGTGTTGGATGGCGATAGCTACCTCTCTCCTACTGACCTAGGTACCTAAGCAGCGCCTCGACGTCGACCCCCAGTCACGTCAGATGCATTCCAGCATCTCCTTCGTCTGGGGAAATATATCTCGAGATTAGCGTTCCGGGAATCGGGTCTGCCACCTCTATGTCCCTTGCATCCGTCTTCCGGACAGCCATGTCCTCTCGTCTCAAGAACAGGCGGCTTCCGGTCGCGGGTTCACGCTTAATCGACTTAAGCACGCGGGGCCTCTCGATTCGAGACGGACATGGAGCCACTGCGCTCCATGCCCACCAGCTGGTCCCCCCTAGAAAGTCTCCTGAGCACACTCGCCAGCCCGGCCTGTGTCGCTGGGAGAGGAGGTCGGTCATGCGATGACGTGTTGCGTAGACTCTAGGAGACGAGGACGGGGGGCAATGGGATTCATGCCATTGACTGAGACAGAGCTTCAGGACTCAACACACAAATGCAAATTCACTTGATTGGCTAGTTTTCTCGGCAACGTGGTATCAACCGACTTCGAAACACAAAAAACAAAAACAAAAAACAAGATGAACACCCATCATCGATCGTCCAACGCTGAGGCCACGCTCCGTCCTCTTCGGACGGCCCCATTCCACCCCGCCCATACTGGCTTGCTCGGCCTGTCCTTTTCCCGATACACGCACACAAGAAATATTGGGGAATGTTCATCCGGATGCCGTGTCGAGCTCCAGGAAGCTTCAGGGCAAAAGAAACAGCCAAACACAGGTATCCAGCGACCAACAACAACATAGGCAAACGACAGCATTACAACACCGACAACCTTGACCGCTCCCGTGCTTTCTCGTCATCGTCCGCCCGCACACCTGCGCCCCTTACGAAGCCGGGGCCTGGGGCTGGTACGACATGCCAGCCTCGGACTGGTACTGGCCCTTGGAGCCAGCGCCGCCCGCGAGCAGGGGCTCGCGGTGAGCGACCTCCTTGTCCTGCTGAACGAGATCGCAGATGCCGCAGCAGCAAGCCACGGCGATGTCGGTGATGCAGCTTCCCTCCAGGTTGTACCTCTGGCGGATGTCGGCCCTCTGCATCGTGACAGGGATGACGGCCAGACCGACGGCGGCAGAGGCGCAGAGGAGAAGGCACTGCAGTCGTGGAATAGCGGCTGGTTAGTTCTCGTCGTTTCTCGTCTTGATAGCGTCCTTCGCTCTCACGCACACGCCCCCACCCTCACATGTATTCGATGCCGGGTCCCTTGGCGGTGACGACAAAATCGCGGTTAGAGACACTTACCGAGGTGTTGATGGGCTCGTATCCCTGGAGCTCGACGTCACGATGCATGCGGTGATGCGTCTTGCCAAAGGTGACGCAGGGCAGGCACCAGGTGATGAGGCAGAGGTCGATGGGGCTGAAGCAGCCGAAGAAGGGCACGCTCCAGGGCTGGGCGCCCTCGGGAGACTTGGAGTTGATCACCTCGCTGGGCTTGGCGAGCACCACGTTCAGGCGGTCCTTCCACTCGTTGACGTCGCGGTCGTTGATGGGACCAGTCGAGTTCTGGGCCGCGCCGCCAGCCGGGGCGGCGGCGACGGTAGGCTCGGTCTTGACGGGGGCGGACATGGCGAACGGTTGGGGTGGTCGACGAGGAGTCTAGCAAGGGGGAAAACAAGACGTCGTTGGACGGGGGTTTGGAAAGGAGTGACAGGTGACGGTCTTAAGAGGTCCTGGAGAAGCGAATGTGCGAATGAGCGACTGGTGAGCAGAGGAGGAAGCCCAGACAAAGGAGAGACACCAGCTGATCCCTTTTAAACAAAGGATGCGAGCCAGGTCTGCTCCCGTCCTCCCTCACCTCCCTGCAGCTGGCATCGCCCTGTGGCCTGCTGTTGTCGAAGCCACGCTAAGATTGCAAGCAATCCGCCAGCAAGCCACTTGCCAACGAAAACGGCCAAGCTCAGACGGGAAATTTTTGGAGGTCCGGTGCGGGCCCGAACTTTTCAGCTCTCAGCCTCACCGCGACGATCCCTCCCCACGCCCAAGGTATAGCGCCAAAGCCCGCCGCTTCTAGCGAGATTTGCCTGTGCAGAGCCATCATTCCTCACGGGCGCCACGGAATCTAGTGCACCTTCGCTCAAATTTGCTTTTTTTTTCTGTTTTTTTCTTGTTCTTGTCTATTCCTCCTCGAGGCTGGGGACAAGCGGAACTTGCCTTCAGCGGAGCGGACCCTGGCTCATGTTTTTTTCTCCCCTTGCAGCTGGAGGAGCTAACGGTCCTGGAATGTACCCATTCTGCACATGGGAAATTTCTTTTATGTGACCAGACCGCGCTTCCCCCCCTGGTCGCGCCGCAACCTGAGTCTGCCGGTCTCTTCAGCCCAGCGAGGCAGCCCTGACGATGGATGCAGGGGCCGCGCCGGTTGACTCATCGGAAGTCACCACGCACTATCTCGCTGTCGCTGGCGGACGCGTGCCGTGAACAGAATGCGTATCAAGAGCAGACCGCCGCTTTGCTCCCTGGCTGCCGAGGAAATGAACGCGCGCGCCACCACCTGTTTTCGGGGATGCCTGATGGCTCGATTATAGCTTCCCTTGCTATCGCGTCTGATCGCGTTTTGTAATCTTTGCGTGCATGACATGATATATCCCGCCCGTCCCCGTGGAGCCCAGGTCGATTCCTGTTGGGTGTAGGCTGCCCGCTTCATGGCTCAAGAAGTGACCAGCCATGCAGGTTTTTGGGAGTAGTATCTAGTGAAGTAGCTCGACCGCACACCGCTCCCGTCATTTAGTAACAAAACGACAGATCCGCCGGGTGAGCTATCTTAGGGCTTGACTTGCGAAGGCCATGGTCTTTGCGACATTATCGCCGGCCCCCATTGGATTCTTTACATTTGCCCATCCGTAGATTCTCTCCTCATGGGGAGTTTGCCTCCAATTGCTGCCTTCAAAATCGATGGGGTATTATCGGGATTAAGGCCCTACTCGATTTGCTACGCGAAGGAAACATAAACATATCATTGACATGATGGAACGCGAAAAGCAACCTTGCAAGATGTTAGAGAACATTGGTCGGGCTGTTGTAATGGCCCTAATTACTATATCTCCATGTTACATTCATAGCCACCGTCGGATAGAGTGCCCTGGTGTGTGATGCGAGTTTTTGGGAAGTATTTACAGTTTGTGCAACTACCAACTACAGCTCACAAACAGATATCTTCATATCCCAGAGGGGATTATAATCGCCCTGGTGTTTAAACTCTCCCGGAATCTGTAGGTAGGGAGTAGGTATGGCGTTGTAGGTAACTGACTATCATCTACGTCGACCTTCAGCTTGTTCGCCTGACACAGGTTAAAGGGCTTGCCCTTGAACATAACCTCCGGAGTACTGGCCGATATTTCGCTGCGAACTGCTGCGATGGACAAGCGTTTGGGCAGCTTCGTCACATGACCACATGCATCACGTGAGTATAGTTCTCAGGCTGCCTCCCAGGCAAGCCGGAATCACTCAACATCAGGACTGGCACGGTGGTGAGGTGCCAAGCTAATCAATGGAGTTGTGCTCGTTAATACCGGTCTACCTAGTGAGCAAAGCCTTAGGTCTGGTACAGTTCATGGACTGGCAGTAATGGATGCTGTTAGGGCGGTGGTCAGGAGCCTGTGCGACGGAATGGATGGCAGTTGAGCATGACGGGAGGATCCCAAGTTGCTGCAAGTCAAACAGGTTAAAGACGTGACATTCGAGGGCCGCATTCCATCCGCGAGCAGGCTAGTCCACTGGTGGAATGGGTATGCACCAGGAGATGGGCGCTAGGCGACTGCCACGTCCGCCCCGTCAGTGCAAGGAAGTTCCTTCGGCTGCGTGCGGGGTTCTCATGCCACAGCATCATCGGCGCGGGGATGTGGTGCGTGCGTGATACGAGCTGGTTGGTCCCTGACAGACCTGCATCCGGCTCCAACGAGCCCATCCCCTGCCCAACAACAAAAGGACAGCTGCAGCCGGCCCACGAAATAGCGACACCCAACCGGCGCCGCCAAACGCAAGGCTGGTCGTCTGCCCGCCAACACCCAACACCGCATCTCGACGATGGACCACGCAGACAAAAGGGCCTCGTCCGGCACTTCCCTTCCCAGCCTCCACCGTATCCACGCCCGCGCTCCTCTTTATGGAGTTTGGCGAGCGAAAGAGGAAAGGGGCGAAGGAGTCGGCTTGGGCGGGAAACGGGGCGAGGACCCTCTTCCCCAGACGCTCAGGTCAGAAAAGCTGGGGGAGAACTGGGGCCCGGGCGAGAAATGGGCCTAGCGCCACGCAACTCTCCACCCACCGTAAAGGGGGATCTTCTTGGTGACCAACGCGAAGGGTTTTCAAGCAAGCGCGACGAGATTTGGACGTTTGGAAAAGAATCAATCTAGAGACCCTCGCGGCGTCTGGAAACAATGTCGGGCTCGTAGGGCCATGTCAGGTCGCCTTTGCAGGCGGAGCCTCCCTGCGCGGAGTGGTGCCAGGCGATGCGGGCGGTGGCTTCTGCGTGTGCTGATTCTGGGCTGGTTGTGACGTCTGACCAGGATACTGATTGGCCGCTGCGAGATGGCTGAGACGTTGCTTTATTGCCTTGGTCGCACGCTACCCCGCTTCCTGCACCCGCGTGGGGTGTCCCGTCTGCTCCTTCTCTTGGCCTGCCCAGCGGCTCAGTTGGCCGCGTGAGCTCTTTCTCTCTGAGTGCGAGATGCTCTGTCCGTGCTGGCACAGGCTATTGCCGCTGGCATCTGGCCCAGCTAGCCAGTCAACGCCCCCCGTTTCCCCCTGGGGCGGGCCCTGATGAAGAAGGTTTGGGAGGACATGAGGTGGCCCGGCTTGGGTCTGAGTGAACGCATTGGGTTGGGTACCTGCCCTGCCCTGGCTCGCCGCCGGACTGAGAGGTACCAATGTCTTGTTGTCGTTTCTGCCCCTTCTGTGGTCTAGGCGAGCGGCGCTGGTAACAGCTAGCAATAAAAGGCTTCCCATCCCTCCTTCATTCCTGCCATCTCCCTTTTTCGGCTTCATCCATCTCTCGTCCACTGACGAATCGACTACTGCTCGCCCATCTAAATCAGAGCCTCCATCGTCAAGGCTTTTGCGAGAAGACCTCTCATCTGCATCTCCCACAAAGGGTACGTCTTCCTGTCACTGCTGCCCACCTGCCGCCCAGTATCCTGCCTGTTCCTCGTATCTCCCATACCCTCGTTCCTTTGATTCCCCTATTTTCCTGCCGCCACCATTGTCATCGAATACCACAATACCACATCTTCTGACCACGATCTGCATTTTAATACAGGCATCGATACGTTCTCCAGCCCAAGCAGGCCACCACACCTCAACTCATCGCGACCTGATCAACAGGAAGCGTCTGCAGACCACCACACCAAACCCAACGCAACCCACACACCACCATGCCCGTCCGCATCCCCAAAGCCAGGGCAAGCGAGGTCCTCTGCTTCGGCGCCGCCGGCGTGGGCACCCTGGCCCCGCTCTACATGATGCTGCCCGGCGCCAAGGAGCGCATCGCGTCGCAGACGGTCCGCTGGGCCCCCCGCTGGGAGCGCAACATCGGCTACTTCGTGCCATCCATGGAGCGCGGCATCAACCGCGTCAAGCCCCCCGTCGAGCGCACCGTCCAGCGCATCGAGCAGCGCCTGCCGCTCGAGCGGTTCGCAAAGAACGTCGATTCGAGGATCAAGAGGGGCATCGACCGCTGGCAGCCCAAGCCTCCCCCGGCACAGTAGGGCTCGGGCATCGCACCCTTCCTCACAGTCTCGGTTTTTATCACCAGCAACTACACCCACATACAAATACACATACACATAGAACAGAGCATGTCGTGGGGTTCGGAGACTGCCTTCTCCCCCCGGCCAACTGTTGCGTGGATTGGCGCCCAGACCCTGAGATGGTGGCGTCAGTGCCTCGACATTTCCGCAGGCGCTTTTAGTTTCGGCGTTGTGTTTTCTATTCTGACAACTTGACTGTACTCGTTGTCTGCCCCCCTGCATCTCTGGCTAGTCCCGACCGCGAGATATGCCTGGGACCTCGGAAGAGACCGGATCGTGTCTGTAATTGATACATAGCCCCAGTAAATACCACCAAAGTTAGACCACATGGCCCCCATATATCGTTTGCGCCGCGCCTCGTCCAGGACGAGGCCCCATATCATGTCTTGATTGCCTTTCATGTCCTCACCGGCCACCCTCATGCAACTAACAGCCCATCTGGGCCTCGGCGCCTAGTGCTGGAACCTGAAATCCAACCTCTTGTTGCCCTCGTCATTGGTGTTGGCCAGGTAGTCCAGCCTCTGCTCTGGCGTCATGGCGTCCCACTTGGCCGCCTTGGACTTGTTCCTCCACGTGTAGTAGAGCTTGACGAGGCCGTACAGCACAATGTTCATGCACGCGAGCCCCAACAGGACCCTGTTGCCCTTTGGATAAAACGGGCCGTCCTCGGCGCGGTAGATCTGCGCACCCACGACGCCGCCGGCCTGCACGAACATGTTATAGCACGCGGCCGAGACCGTGCGCAGACGGACAGAGTTTGAGTTGCGCGAGTTCCAGCCCACCTGAATCGGGTGTGCTGTGAAATAAAGTCAGCAACATGACTACGCCTTTGTTAGGACGGCAGTTGGATGTATCAATGTGTCAGTCATACCGTTTGGAAAGCTGAGAAGGACAGTGGTCACAGCCCAAACAGCCCATCGATTGACAGATCCCAAGTCGGTCACGGCCATGTAAACGAGTATTGGGAACACCCATATCTGTCCCATCATTGCCGTGAAGGTGAGCTCTCCCCGGATCTCGGCCAGGTAGGTGATTCCGAGGATGGTGATGATGTGCCCAACGGTGTAGGGTATGCTGAGCAAGTTCGTTTGGAACGTATCGAAGCCCAGACTGCGCAATGAAAGGGTCAAGTACTGATGAGGTGGGATCATAGGGAGCTGGAAAGTGAGCCCAATGAGGTACAGCGGCCTTGTGGGTGTTAGTTCTGATTTATCACGGGTTGGCCCCTGCACAAGGCGCTGCCGAATGGTAGCTCACCACAAATCGTAATCCTTCAAGCTCTGCCAGAGAAGCTTGGGAGTGATGGGTTCTCTATTGTGCATGGAACTCTTGCTTGGATCCTCGCGGAGAACCCTGTTGACAATGATCTTCTCTTGCCTGTGGATGATTGATCAGTTAGTTTAAGTTTGATCAGAGACTGTCGCCTGGCCTCGGAGATGCCCATACCTTTCGTCAAACCAACCGTTCTTGCCCCTGAACCAGCTCGCGGTTTGGCAGGGACCGGCTGGCATCAGGAGGAACGCAAAAAGTCCAACAATGAGTGTAAGGAGGCCCTGGGTCATGGTTAGCCTCAACCGCGCAGCCGTGGCAATGTCCTTGTTTCTTTCCTCAGCCGGCCCGAAAGCTCACCTCGACCAGGAACAGCCAGCGCCAGCCGGCATGACCTTCAATGCCCCGCATGCGCAGCAGGCCATATGCAAGCAATGCTGAAAGAATATCGGCGCCGCTCATCGCTGTCCAGAACCAACCCAGACGGATGGAAAGCTCGTGGTGCTTGTAAAAGTACGACAGATATAAAATGACCTGTAGTTATCGTGTCAGTACACACCCTGAACTGTCTTCTGTGGCGCGCTCAAGTGGGGTAGAGTGAGAACAAACATCTGGAATAAATCCCCCCTGGAGGATACCGAGCAACGCTCGGCATGCCAGAAATGGAGTTCGACCCGAGAGCCAGAATTGGGAGCAAGCGACGATGCTCCAGATGGCCATCTGGGTTGGGATCCATCGGTCAGGCCCCATCCACTTGGAGACTAGCTGGGAGGGGAGTTCGGCGCAAAGGAAGCTCAGCCTGAAGATGGAGTTGCCAAGATTGTAGTCTGCACTGGGCCAAGAGTTTATCAGCATCTGCATACCCGTAGGATAGAATGGGTCAGCATCATAGCTGCAAGCTTGTGATTACCGTCCCTTGTGAGGTGCAAGTCGGTGAGCATGTTGTCGGCCAGCGCCTGGCTGATGTTGGCTCGGTCAAGCTCCAAAGCCATAAACATGACACAGGCCCAAACCATGATGTATCCGTCGATTTTGCGCACGACCTTGTCCTCCTCAGCCCAGGTCCATCGAAAAAGGGGGTCGAATCGGTGCGTGTTTTCCCTGCAGGAGATAGGTCAGTTCGAGATCGGACACCACGGCTGAGCTGAGGCCACTTGCCACTCCTCCCCTGGTCGGTACTTGTCCGCTGTGTCGCCGTCGTCGAATACGCTGGCCTTGACCAAACGGTAGAAAGCACATGTCAGCATCCACATGTATATGACACTAGCGACGCGGGCTAGATTCCGTACCTGGGTGGCGATGGCGTCCGGGTCGAAGGCAGCTTTGCGCTGCCAAAAGAACTTCTTCACATCTCGAGGAGCCCCGAGGGGAGGGGAGTTGCTCAGAGACGAGGTCGACCCGTAGCCGGAGCTGATCTCCTTGTCTCCCCTTCCTCCCTTGCTGAGGACAGTCGCCATGGCGCCCGGCTGGAGGCTTTGTCTGGCGAGATCTCGCGAGGAGGGAAAGCTGTGACACGCAGCTCGTCAAGTATCGCAGTCTCAGGTGTACGAATAACAAAAAAGTAGATGTGAAGCTGAGCGAACTGGCGCCTTTAACATCGTACGTCTATAAGCCCGGATTTCCCAATGGACCGTCGCGAAGGTAGGCCTGGCGATGGCCCTTGACTTCCGATCATCGGCTCCCCATGGCGAGGTAGCAGATGGCGAGCGGATGCATCGCGCGCACGTCTTATCCAGCGATACGGCTTCCCCGCGCCGCTGGTCGAGATGGGTGTGTTCATGTGGGGGTGATCTCTGGCAGATCCAGGTACGATGTTAGAGGAGCCGGGGCTTTCTCGGGAGACCTGTTCAACTACAGCTCACCCATCTGATGCCGGACGAGCATCATCCAATGAGCTTGACTGTCTTCTTATCACCTGTCCGGCCATGCGGCAGCCTTGCATTGCCCAACATCCTCCCGATGGAGCAGGTGTTCAGGGTCGAGTGCTTCCCGGTAGGCGAGCTGGGGTTGCCCCTTGCGTGGGGCCAATGGCGTAATTGGGGCAGACCATGTCGCGGGCGCGGGGCGGACGGGGTGTCGTTGGAGATGTTTCACGGCAGATACGTCGTGGGCGTGTCTAGAAGTGACATGTTTGGTGGTGAAAATGGGTGGGAGAAGGGAGTGCGGAGCTCAGGTCGAAGTGGATCACACCATGATCTTCGTTGATGTCGAAATAGCGGAGGCAGCACCTAGATGGTGCAATATTGCACCCCCACTCTGCCTTTGCTGGACCTCGCTGCTCAACCACGCTGCCTCCGTCTTATCTATGATCCCCGAGTCTCCGAACATTGCTGTCGCCGGAACCATGTTAGCTTCCCCCTCACCTTTGGGGTCTTGTCGATCACGCCAGCTGAGGAGAAGCATGCGAATATGCTAATAGCGCGGCTGCCAGGCATGTGCTTGCGGGGAAGGGTGCCAGCTACGGGCTGGACGCGCTTATGACTCCTGATTATAATAAAGCTACCTAGCCGAGTCTTTCAGTTCCTTGACGATGGAGGGGCTGGCATACCTCGCTGCCTCAGAGCTTGCGCAAAACACCACGATAATCTTGGCACCAGACCGCCTTGAATCTCCCGCACTGACACCTCTGGCGCTTTTATCTCTGACATCGCCATGTCCCCTTCTGCTGTTGATGCCCCGGGCGAGGTGCCGATCGTTGCGAAGACCACGGCGCATAAGGAGCCGCTCAAGACTACTGGTGCCCTTGACACGTATGAACACTTCGACGTCACTCCAACCATCGGCCGCGAGTTTCCAAAGGCCGAGATCGTCGACCTCCTCGATGCTCCGAACTCAGATGAGCTCCTCAGAGACCTGGCTATCACCAGTACGCAAGCGGTTCATGGCCAATGGCGTCACCTCCCTGCCCACATACCCACCTGCGTAGACTTGCCCAGCTGACACTCTTGCCCCAGCCTCTGAACGCGGCGTGGTGTTCTTTCGTGCCCAGGACGGCCTGACCAACGATATACAGAAGAAGCTGATCCTTCGTCTCGGCGAGCTGACTGGACGCCCGGCCACCTCTGGCCTCCACATCCACCCTGTGCTCAACTCGGAGCGAGAAGTGGAGGGCGGCGACGACCTCGAGATCAGCACCATAAGCTCGGTCGGGCGTGAGAAGTACTACAAAAGCGTCAAGGCGGAGGTCGACGGCCTGAACACCAAGAAGCAAGACACGTCCCAGTGGCACAGCGACATCGCGTTCGAGCCAGTTCCCGCCGACTACACCTCGCTGAGGCTGACGCAGCTGCCCAAGACCGGCGGCGGTAAGGAAACAACCCCTGCTAGAAGAGCATGACAGCGCATCATGGCGTACGATAGCTGACAGCCCCTGGCTCGACAGACACACTGTGGGCCTCTGGATACGAGATCTACGACCGCATATCGGAGCCCTACCAAGCATTCCTCGAGACGCTGACGGCCACGTTCGAACAGCCCTTCTTCATCGCGGCGGCGAAGCACAACGGGTTCCAGCTCTACGACAAGCCGCGCGGGTCGCCCGAGAATGTCGGCTCGACCCTCAAGGCGATCCACCCTGTCGTGCGGACGAACCCGGTGACAGGCTGGAAGAGCGTCTTCCCCGTGGGTGGGCATGTAAAGCACATCAACGGGCTGACGAGCGAAGAGAGCAAGCACCTGCTGGACTGGTTCTTGCAGCTCCTACAGCAGAACCACGATCTGCAGGTCCGGTTCAGGTGGCAGAGCCCGAACGATATTGGTGTGTTGATGCCATCCGTATCTTTGGTGGCGGAGCTTTGCATGGCTAGAGAATATTTGAGCTAACAGCGCCCCTGTGACATCCAGCTATCTGGGACAACCGGAGCGTGTTCCATACGGCGACGCTGGACTACGATGGCCAAGGAGATCGCTTCGGGAACAGGGCTGTTGGGCTGGGCGAGCGGCCGTATCTGGATCCTCAAAGCAAGTCGCGACGTATCTCGTTGGCTGAAAGAGAGTAAACCACATTGGGCGGATGTGCCGGTGCATGGGCGAGGGGGGCGAACAAAGGTCTCAAAGTGCAAAGAAACATCCGTAGCCCGCCTAATGGCAAAGGGATCTTGCGGAATAATAAACAACATTCGGTTGGATAAAAGAGATTAATTAATATAAAAAGGAATGTAAACAAAAAAAGCAAAAACAAAATATACAAAAGTAAATTCGAAAAGCTAGTAATACGCTATTTTATTTATTCGAAGAACGAAGGTAGAAATATACCAGGTTGGTATGGTCCATAGCTTGCGAAACATAAAATTGAAACCACATAAATAACTGTAAAAGTCCTGGGCTGTTCGAAGGCTGGATATGCCCATTTGATAGTTCGTGCTAAAGCTGTAGCAGTTGTGGCAGTTTGTCTTAGCGTAGGTTAAAGCTCCCAGCCTACCACACTCCCTCGAGGTCCAAAGGAGGCCGCCAGCTTTTTTGAGGCTGGGCCTTGTCAGCCGCACCCGGCGTGTCAATAGTGCGTTTACCTGGAAAGGGGTGGGTCTAAGGAGGCGTGATTTGGTGTGGCAAACGTGCTAGCGGGCGGGCAACGCGTCCAAGGCTGACTGCAGACGCGTGACTTCGAGTTCGCCACGGCAAGGAGGGCTCCCAGGAACGGACCTTCCTCAAGGCAGAGAGGAAGAGAGGGGCACTCGCTAATTGGCTGGCACTCTGCCCGCGCCCTTTATTATTGCAATAAAAACTTCCCCTCCTCCCTTCCTCCCCCTCCTCCCCCTCCACGCCAAAACTCCTCTCGACACCACAAAGCCAACCATGGAGTCGACACGCAAGCAGGAGTACCAAGTGCGCGACCTGCCCACGAGGTCCGTCACTCTCTTCCCGACGAGGGCGCAGGTGGTTCGAGACATCAAGAATGTCTTCCTGCAGGTAAGCATCTCTGCCTCTTGGCCAAGCTGCAACCGCACTCCCCTCCGCCACGAGGTCACCACATGCTCACACTCCAACCCAGCCTGGCACGAACCAAATAACGATCGTTGGGTTCTCGCCCACGGTCGAAGAGGAAAGCATCAAGGTCGAGGGTTGTGGCTCGGCAATGATCACGGACATCGCCGTGGAGCTGCTTCCCAACCGTGACATCTTCGAGGAGATCTACTCCTCGGGCGATGAAGATTCGGAGGATGACGAGAGTGATGACGACTCTGACGACCAGGGCGACGGAGACAACGTGCTCTTAACGGCCGTGCGATGCAGGATCGACAGTCTCCGTGATGAGCTGGCCCATGCCGTCGCAGGCGTCGCTAGTGCCGACGCGCAGCTCGCGATCCTGGACGCCCACTACAACCGGATTCACCCCAGGCACGGTAACATCGATATTGTCGAAGCTATTGCGCACTACAGGGCCGAGAGGTTGAACATCTCCCGGGCGAGGATCGGCGAGGCCATCCACGTCAGGAATCTGGAGATGAAGATCCATCTTCAGTCTCAAGAGGAGAGCAAACTGGCCAAGAGCGACAGGAAGGAGCGTCGCAAGCACGAGAAGGCTAGCGAGAAGGGAAAGAAGCTCAGGCGCAAGGCCAAAGCCAAGAAGCAGCGCCGCCGCGAGGAGGTTCTCAAGGAGAAGCAGCGCCTGCGTGAGGAGCGCGAGTCCTTCTGGCCGCGCAAGACCTATACCGTCCGCATCTCGCTCGAGGCCGGCAACTTAAACATGACGCCCATGACCTCCAGGCGCAGCTCGGCCACGACGGACATTTTGCACACCACCGTTGCCCGTGACAAGGACGCCTCGACGGAGGCTGAGAAGAGCGCCGCGACCGCCGCCTACAGTGCTGCGGCCGCCGCCTCTAGCGCTGCTACCGCCGCCTATAGCAGCCTGCATACCTGCGATATCTCCATCTCCTATGTGACATCAGCCGCCTCTTGGACTCCTTCGTACGACCTTTCTCTCTCGACGATCAGCAACACAGGCATTCTCTGCTTTGACGCGCAGCTCACCAACAAGACATCGGAGACCTGGGGTGGCTGCAAGATTGTCCTGTCGACCAGCCAGGCGACCTTCTCGGGCATCAAAGACGCTATTCCCGTCTTGCATCCCTGGCGCGTCAAGTTGGCCCCTAGGGGGGGCCAGGCCTGGGACGATATCGTTGATTCTCGAGAGGTAAGAATCTCCCTGCTCCTGGGCATTATTGTCGTGGCAATACTAACCCTTGTCTCCAGGAGCGTACCGAAGCCGATCTCTGGCGCGGCCAGCAGAGCCTGGCGATGCAGCAGGCCAAGCCTCGGACTGAGCTTTTCGGAGTCGGCAGTGTTAAGACCCAAGCCGTGCCCGAGCCCGTCCAGCTGGGCTCGAACCCGCACCAGAGCATACCGTTTTCTCGCATGCAGCAGAGCCTCACCCGACCCCCCGGGGCTGGAGGTAGCATGCTTCGCAAGTCAGCCGCTCCCAAGGCCCGCGGCGCCCGCGACAGTCTCATGCGCTCGGCGAGCAGCGCAAAGCGTAAGGCAGTCGAAGCCTACGGTCAAACTCCTACTTTCGGCGACTCTGACGAGTCCGAGGGCGAGGACGAAGCCACGATCCTCCCGGAGCAAGCCCCGGAGCTTGCATTCCCGGAGTCCCTGTTCCAGGAGACGGGTCTTTCCGAGACGTACGACCTGCCCGGCCTCAAGACGCTGGCTCCCGGACACACGGCCTCCAAGCAGCGCGTCGTCCGCGTGCCCCTGTCGGCGCTCGTCTTTTCGCACACCGTCGTGGCCAAGTACAAGCCCGCGGCCTTCCTCAAGGTCAGGATCCAGAACCGCAGCAAGCTGACGCTGCTCAACGGCCCCGTCGGTCTGACTCTGGACGGCAGCTTCATGGGCCGCTCCAAGCTCCCGCGCTGCTCGTCGGGCGACCTGTTCACCATGAGCCTCGGCATCGACCCGGCCATCAAGGTGACCTACCCCAAGCCCGAGGTCAAGCGCAGCATGCAGGGCCTGTTCGCCAAGGAGGATAACCACGCCTTCACGCGCGCCATCACGCTCATCAACACGCGCACGGGCATCAACGCCCGCCCGGCCGCGCTGGTCATCTACGACCAGGTTCCCGTCAGCGAGGACGAGCGCCTGCACGTCCACGTGCTCGAGCCGCACGGCCTAGCCGCTGGCATGCCCGGAGTCCCCGACGGCGTGCCGTACAAGGACCCGGCGCGCGGCGGCGGTGGCGGCGAAAAGACGGACGCCGGCGACAAGAACTGGGGCAAGGCCATCGCCACGCGCAGTAAGGAGAACGTCGTCACCTGGGACGTCACGCTCAACGCCGGCCGCGGCGTCCGCCTCGGCCTCAAGTACACCATCGGCTGGCCTACCAACGAGCACGTAATGCAGTGCTAGGATCAGGCCGTCGCCCGGACCGGCAGCAGCGGCGGTGGAGGCGACGACGTGCTCGGCATTACGGATGACTTGCCGCATGGTGACCCCATTGGCGCTGGTCTGGGTGACAAGGGACCTACTCCCGGCATCGACCAGAATGGGAAGAACACGGGCTTCGAGGGCCAGAAGGAGGACGATAAGTTGAGCGGCAGCTTTGTTGGCCGCAGGAGTGGCAGTATCAGGAGCAACACTCTCAAGAAGATCTTCAAGCGCAAATCGCTTAGGGGTCTTGTGGGTTAGGGATGAGGGGGTCAACAGTCCCAGCATCGACACCTTGCTCTCTTCCTTGCGTTAGCCCCCCCCCCCATTGGGCTTTTTTTTTCAGACGCAATATTGTGGGATATCCTCCATACCAAATGGCTCGGAGTTGATAGAGTAGATACCATGCAGTAAATGAAAGTCAATGTAGGAAAAAAACGAGCAGTCTACGTAGAGAGCTAGGGACGATGGATGGCAACGTAGAAGAAGATATCGGCATGGTCCCACTCCCTCGAGCTCCACCGACCGTGGCTCTGGCAGGTGAATCTCCCAGGCCTCCAGCGCCGCCCAGAACGCGAGCAAAACACTCCACTTCAACTCCCGGCTACCTAACGCTGGCCGCTAAGACCGTCAACAGTGACGACAATGATCATCAGATCTAGCCGGAGCACGCGGCGTTTGCAAGAAAAGTCAGGCACCAAACACATCTGTCATTATTGTGTTTGACTGTGATCCTGAACACGTCAAATTCCAGTCAAACCCGGTCGCCCTTCCGCGTATTTAAGCAACGCCGTCGCCTCCTGCCCTCAATGGCGACCACCTACCACCCTGCCAGACCGCTCGTGAGAGACTACCGTCGGCCCGTGTTCTGATAGAACCATCCTATCCTCCACTGTGTCCCATCCTGCCAGCATCTCATCTCCTCCAGCATCTAATCTTCCATAGAGATCCGTCTCGTCCTGCAGAGCGAATCATCCCATCATCCAACGCCGGGCACCCAGCGAGCGAGGGAAGCCCTCACCTCTGTCCACGCCGGAGCGAAGCACCCGAGACACAGAGAGCGTCGCCTCGCCGGGTTGACGGAGCCGGATCTCCAGCAAGCCCCGAAGGCTCTATGCCCAAGACCACGCGCCACCTCCTATTCCCTGCTCCTCTGCGTGAGAGCACACGTCCTGCCTTGGCCCGCAAGGGTAGCCAATGCCCCTGCAGCTCCAGTCCTGCCGCCGGACTAGCCTGCTAGGTACCGTAGTCCAGATAACCCGTCTGTAGTCACTTATGCGCCGCCTCTCCTCTCCCTCTCCTCTAACCTCCGACATGGCGCGGCCGTCGGCCGGGCTCTCGGCATACATCTGTCAGGTTCAGATACCCAGGTTACACGCGTGCTTGGAACCACATGTGTCACAAAGGAGCGGATCCAGGTCAAGGATCTACGAGACCGAGGGACGTTTACCCTTGCCATCTTTACTAGCGCTTAGCATAGCGGTCTATCAAATATCCAGTCTGCTGCATTCTCCGCTTCTTTGCAATACCACGTTGTGTCCTTCACCCTCCCTCTGCCGAGACTAGGCTGGTCTGGGGGCTCCGGCCTCAAGATATCGTCTTCATCTCCTTCCTGTGAGCACACCGCCCGTACCTCTGGTCGAGTCGGCGTTGATGGGTGACCGGCTTGTCCGATGGCCTCTTTTCCATTTCCTCACCCTTCCTTTCCTTCTACGGTGTCTTTTCTGCTAGTACTATCCCTCACGCCGCCCCCGCACCGTCCCTTGAAGATCGCTGGGTTCGATAACATGCAGTCTTGACACACGCAGAGACGGACATTCACCTCCTGACCCTCTCACTCCCAAGCCGACTGGCTAGCTTATTGAATAGCATATCTTATGCCCTTTTTCCCTCGCTTCTATTCCCTCGTTCCTCCCCTTCGCCCACTTCCATCCCCTTGTCTTCCCCTTCCTCCCAACTCTCCTTTTCTACTAGAATTTCGACCATCCAGCTGCTCTAAAGATATCACGGGTCGGGGTATATGGGTCGGACAGCTGTGGGTATCCCAAAGCTGCCAGTGGCTGGCTTTCATTCCCGTCCTGGCTTCCACGCTGTGAGCCCCCAGACCACTGTAGTAGCCAGGCCTGCCAGGCCTAGGGGACTGACTTGGGGCCCTTGAGATCAGCCTCCCGGAGAATCGGTGCCACCCTACAGCTGTTTGTAATAACAGTGAAGATAGGAAATAGTTTTAGCGTATTAGGCGAAGCTCCTACTGTACCCGAAGCTTTCCAGGTTGACGTATCGCAGCTCTTATCTTCCATGGCCGTTCCTTTCTGTTCTGCCCTCAGGTATATTCCATGCAATCTACCCAGGGAATCCTCTACATCTACTATCTAGTGGCTGGTGATGGGCCCTGCCCTGAGTTACTAATAGAGATGGGCGTCTCTTCCAGAGGCTGTGCATCTCTTCTATCGGCTGCCGCATTCAACGCACTGTCTTTGGTGGCGTATGGAAGGCCCTGCCTCTGGGCCACCAGCGAAGATGAGTTCCTCCTTCAGCGGTCATGCATCTGTCCCCTCGGCTGGCCCATCCCTCAGCCCAAAGACCCCATCCCCCATTCCCTTCCACGGAGAGAGGACTTGGAGGGGTCCAAACCCCAAGCCCACCGCATCAGTCAATGCTCGCTGCTGCTCATCGTCTGGCATCTATCAAGTTTGAGTCAGATCTTTAGACAAGATGGAAACGTCCCCCCTCGCTGCAGCGGGCAGGTGTGCAGAGTGGCTGGAGCCTTGTGCGTGGTGGAAGCTAGGAGCTAGGGCCACTCCGCATATCATCCCGGCACTTGAATGGTCCAGCCAGACTCCCCCTCTGGCCTGCCCTGGCCAGGTGGGATCTTGGCTTCACAACAGAGAGACAGAGCCATGGCGACGCTGTGGGAATCTCGAGTCCAGCCAAAGCTTTTTAAGGTCTACAAACTGGATAAGACTTCATCGCCGGTACATATCACTTTATAAAGCACAAATGCCAAAAAGAAAGCTAAAATAGAAGCATTCCAGCAGGTTTCACGTCCTTTTGGCTGGCCTTCCTGATGTGACCTGGCATAGTAGTACCTTATAAAGCTGCCACCCGAACTTTTTGCCCCATCATTAAACTTTAACCTGGTTATCGGAAGCATTCGTCCAGTTTTTTTTTTAATAGGATCGGTAGGTCAATCCTGGCCTGGCAATGGATTGCCACATCCTGATCGATCTGAGCAACCTTTGCCCAATGTTGCTCATTTCTTGGGATGGTTCCGATGGCATTCCCCACCGAGGCTCCGTTGAATTTTATTTCGGATGGAATTCTATAGATATCTTTCTTTTGGCCTTTCCCAAGGATTTGTATTTTAACCAGGATTCGCCACCACACTTTCGACCAGCTTCTATTTCCATATTTGCCACCATCATGTCTTACCCCAGCCTCGAAGACCTCCTGACAAGCTCCCACAATGGAGCAGGCACCCCTTTCCAGGGGCGCATTCAGAGCATCGAGCACTCGATGCAGCTCAAGGCAGAGTACCAGAGGCGAAATGATATCCGCCATGCAACTGTTCCCACTGGCTTTCCACAGGAGGTGAAGGAGCAGAAGCGACTGGTGCAGCTTCTCTATGAGGCCATCTGGGACTTTCAGGACATCATTGACGGCAAGAGGAAGATTTCGGCCCTCAAGAAGCCACAGGCCGACGATGGCGACCAAGACGGGGCTGCGACTCCGGCCGACAAGAGGGTGGACGGCCACCAGGCGTCGCGGGTCAAGAACATGATGCCGATAGAGGTCGAGATGCTCTCCTGGCAGATCCTCGTGAGTACCCCAGACCCCCGAGCCCCCCTCCTTTGGCCCCTGCGTCCCCAGACATGCACAGGACAAGGCTGACACGACATCCTGCATCTTCCCACAGATCGCCATCCGCGATGCCCACGAGGGCCGCCTCAGCATCTTCCCCTGGAGCAAGGACTGGGGCCACGACAAGAAGTACAAGACCTTCGAGGAGAGGTTCGGCGCCGTCATGGCAGCTCTGCGCGTACGTATACTCGAGACCCGGCAGTGGGGGGCATCGCAGCCCCATGCAGTTCAGCTGGGAGGAAAGGCGTGTGGACGTCAGTTGCTGACTTCCCCCGGGTTGCCGACCAACAGCACTCCAAGGCAGTGGTCAGCGGCCTCCTTGGAGCCGACTTTCTTCGCAGGCTCGCCGCTCACCCTGAGAAGGAATTCAAGGTACATGAACAATGCATCTTTCTATTGACCCCTGTCCCCCTCCTGCTGCTACAATGGCTTGGGTTCGGCCCCCATATCCCTGTCGAGGAACAATGACTTTCCTCTGGCATCCATACCCCTGCTCTAGCTGCAGCAGCTCTTTTGCACATTTGCCACGCTCCCCAACAAGCTTTGATACATGCCTGTTCCATCCACGCCCATCAGCTTTGGTTCAACCGCCATACCCTTTACAAGCTTATAGACAATGGCCGTTCCACCCAGCAGCTACAGCTGCCGCTCCCTCCACACAAGCTTTTATATAGCACCTTTCCACACACCCAGCAGCCACAACTGCCGCTTTCTCCACATAAGCTTCCAACAACGGACGTTCCACCCGAATAACCTTTCCAACTCCCACACCCCCCCACATTCCTCCTTTGTTTTTCAAAATTCCCTTATCCAAACCCCATACCATTTCTTTTTCAGCGTCCACCTTTTAATAGTGACCTATGTGGGGTCCTGGTTGGGTTTAAGCTGGAATGAAACGATTAAAACTGATATGTGGTCCTTTACACCAGAGAAAAGGATCCAATAAGGCCCAGAATGAAGAGAGGGATATCCAGGTCCAGGCTGGTAACCATGCCATACTTCATGGTATGGTAACCGTTGTCCCCGGCGAGGTTACCAACGAAAAGGGAAAAATCGGGACAAGCAAGAAGAGTGCTGCTGTAGTGGCCAAGCTTGAGAACAGGCACACCAAGAAGCTGCAGCACAGGGCTGCCAGGGCCACCACCGCCGCCACCATCGCTGCCGGGCCTGCTGGTTCCGACGCCGCGCCCGCCCAGCAGCCCCTCGGCTCTCTGGGCCGCGACAGCGCGGCGGCCAGGCCGGAGCCGGCCTTTGTGAACCCCGGGGCCGACACGCCCATCCAGAGCATCGAGGCCTCTGCTGAGCCTCGGGCGGGCCCGTCCGGCCTCGACCTCGGCCTCGGCCTAGGCTCCGCGGGCGCGTCGTACATGGCGTCGCACGGCGACGGCGGCCTCACCGGCTCTGGCCTGGGCGCGCAGGGCGGCTCCGTGGGCGGCAACAGCTTTTACACCCCCGCGAGCGCCTTCCCGGCCGGCAGCGCCCTCCCGGAGGTGATTGGCGGCGGCTCGGCTGTCGGCCTATTGGGCATGGGACTCGGCGGCGGCGGCGGCGCGTTCGGCGCGCTCGACTTTTCCGCCGGCCTGTCCAGCTCCAGCGGCGCATTCGGGACGGCGGCCTTCACGACTGGGGGCATCATCTCCTCCGCGGCTTAGGATCCCGCGGGTGATGCCCTGCAGTACGGCGGCTACCTCGGCCTTCCCCAGAGCTCGGGCGTCGACCAGGCCTTCGCCGGCCTGGGCGCGGATCAGGGCTCCTTCGGCCTGGCGGCTGGCCAGAGCTACTTCCCTCAGACGTCTGCGGTCGACCAGACGCTCTCGGCCCTGGGCGGCGATCAGGGACTGTTCAACATGGGGGCTGACCCGAACTTCGACTTCTCCCTCGACCCTCTCTGGGGATTCGACTTCCCCTCGAACCCTGCCCCTCAGGACAGCATGCAGAATGGAGCGCAGTAGCTTGCCCCGACTCTCTAGCGCTTGGAGGCTAGACAAAGGTGGACGAGGGCAGCTGGGAGCAAGAGGAAGGGAGGAAACGAAGTGGCCTCTCCCCTTTCCTTGCTTTCGTTTCACTTTACTCCATTTTGCGTTGGTATTTTAATTCTCGTTGTTACGCTGCACGACTGCGGACGGCGATGGGGGATTTGCTTCTGGTTTGCGCTGTCTTTTTCCTATTACAATGCTAATTCGGTTTGACATTTGATCGCGATGGACCCAACTTTGCATTTAGCTTTTTCCGTAGCTGAGAATTAAGTTCCTTAAAGGAAATGCCTTTTAACGTTGTAAAATGGACGTATTGGGGGTGGGTTTTAATGTTCATTTTGTTTTTACTGGCCGTTTTCATTGTTAAACAAATTATCCCATTTTGCTGCCTGCCAAAAGCAGTGGGAGCTATATGGATTAGCTGGTGCTGGAATTTAAATGCCAAACCATTCCGAACGCCTTTTTAATACGTATTAGCGCCAGCGTCTGCCACCTATCTTGACTGCCCACCACCTGTTTCCTGCCTGTCCCCAAAAGTCTAGCCCGCCCCCATCCGTTCCAATTTTCCCTCCACCGCCCGAAGCCGGTTGGGGCTCCATAGACGACCCCGCCTACAGCGACCTTGGGGATGGATTCCTTCTCCCCGGCCTCTAGAGAATGTCACAAAGGAGGCTATCACCAAGGGCCGGCACACTGTTCTAGACCTTGGCTCGGACGATCTGCACGGGCACCGGTGTCGCACAGGGTAGATGCTTGCCAGGCACTCGTCGGCAATGACAGAGGCGCGGTAGCGAGTACCGCGCCTACAAGAGAGGGGATTACTGTATATGGGGGCATAGGGCCGTCCGCCCCGTCCCCGTCCTCCTTTCTCTTTCGGAGATCTAGCTCAACATACAATAGACCCTATCTTGCACCCTTTGTCCGTCATAGAGAACCTAACATTTTGATCACTAATGCTCGTATGGTTCCTGAGCCCCTGTGTATGTACCTACAACTCCTACCTCCTAGGATTTGTGAAGAACAAGGCGTTAAAGGCCCTTCTGGGCTGGGCGGCAACGCAGCAAGTCTACGCGACGTTGTGAAGCTCTCAGGCCCAAAGGGGAATTTGTCGAGGTGCGACGTGTACTGAATCTGGTGATGATTGGGCGGGGTGAGCGGGAGCGAGCCCGGCGAGGTCGACAACGAATTAGCCAGCGGCGCGCGTGACGAGAGGTCAAAGAAGGTCGCCGCCGGGTACGTTGGGCATTAGAAGAGGGTGTCCAGAATCTGCCGCCACTACCCCCGTGTCCCAGTGCAATGAGGGGGAAAGAAAGAATAGCAAGAAGGGCATTGAAGCTTGAGGTTACATTCTCTTAGGATTGGACTTCATTGCTCGAGGGGGCCGAGAGAAGACATTGGCAGACATGAGAGTGCGCCGAAGGGAAAAGGCCTCCTAGGCCGCTGAAGATGGTGTAGTATTGAGGGGACCCCCTGTGAAGACGACAATATCTTTGCTACTTTCTCGGGGAAATGTTCCCCTTCTACGAGAACCATGGCGTTGCGGGACCAGCGCGTGGTGGCGCCTGACCAGAGAGCTTATGACAACTCTTGGCATGCGGCTCTTTCGTACTGCGGAAGATGGCCTCGTGTATCCGGATGAGCAGCCGTGTTCCAAGGACTTGGTCGTGGACTAGCTTTATCTCCTTGTCTCCCATCTGGGAGGCGTGGCGATGGCGGTTCGTGTATTGGAGCCGTTAAACAAAGGGCCCCACGAGAAACAGAGCACCAGCTCGTGGTTTGAGCTTTGGTCAATTAGGATATGGCAGAGGTTCGAAATGGGCAATGGCTGGCCCTAATTGGAAGACAGATAGATAGTTAGCAGAGAGCTGGAAGGGAGTAGGGGCCGGTTGGAAGCACAGCGTCGGCAGCATGAGGACAGCCAGCAGGGGGAAGCCTATTGACAGGGAGAAGGCGGTGGGCCGGGAGGCGACAGTCGACGGGAAAGAGATAGCTGGCAGTGAGCAGAGTGTCGGCTGCGAGTAGGAAGCGGGCAGCTAGAAGAGAGAGAGAGAGAGAGAGAGAGAGAGAGAGAGAGAGAGAGAGAGAGAGAGAGAGAGAGAGAGAGAGAGAGAGAGAGAGAGAGAGAGAGAGAGAGAGAGAGAGA